GCATTTGCATACTCACTGAAGGAGTTGGGGAAATGCAATCGAGCAGAGATGGAGATAGAACTCCAGACTGAGGTGCCGGTCTATCAGAGAAGGAGAAGAAAGAGCCCCGGGGACAGGGATGTGGCAGCAGAAAAATGTCAGGAGCTTCTGGAGGCGGGATTGATCAGAGAGTCCACGTCAGAATACGCAGCGGCGACCGTAGTGGCAGTCAGGAAAGACCTCACAGGAGAGACCTTGGCCCGCAGGATGTGTGGGGATTATAGGGGCTTGAACCAAGTGACGAAGAGTGACAGGTACCCCATGCCAATAACTGAGGAGATCTTCGACAAGCTGTCGAAGGGCCGAGTGTACTCAACGCTGGATCTACGGCAAGGGTTCAATCAAATTCCAATAAAGGAGGAAGACAAGAAGAAGACTGCGTTTCATGGACCCGACCGTCTCTATGAGTGGAATTACATGCCGTTCGGCTTGAAAAACGCGTCGGCAAAATTCCAACGGGTCATGGACCAAGTGTTACAAGGGCTGACCTTTGCACTGTGCTACATTGACGACGTGGTGATCTACAGCGAGGATGCAGAGAGACACATTCAAGACGTGGCTGACACCCTGGCAGCCATCCAAGCTGCGGGACTAACATGTCACCCAGGGAAGTGTACATTTGGAGTGACAACAGTGGCTTATCTGGGGTTTCAAGTGGGAGAAGGAGGTCTGTCCGTGCAGCAGGCCAAAGTGGAAGTGGTGGACAGGTTGAGAGCGCCGACGATCCGAAGCACGCTCAGGGCCCAGCTCGGGTTCTTGAGTTATTACCGGAAGTTCATACCGAACTTCAGCAAAACAGCAAGGCCCCTCAATATGCTCTTGAGGGAAGATCAAGGATGGGAATGGGGGGAAGAACAGGAAGGAGCATGGAGAGTCCTGAAGGAAGCGGTAAAGACAGCACCCATGCTGAAATTGCCGGACCCCGAGGAGCCATTCACCTTGTATACTGACTGGAGCTGCAGCGGGCTGGGGGCAGTCCTCTGCCAGAAGGAAAGAGGCACGGAAAGAGTGGTGGCATACGCGAGCCGGTCCTGCAGTCCTGCCGAAAGCAATTACAGCTCGTATGAAGGAGAGGGGCTGGCAGCAGTCTGGGCGGTGGAGCTGTTCAGAGCGTACTTGCAGGGACGCAAGTTCACTCTCGTTACGGATCATCAACCTCTGTTATGGTTGATGAGGAACCAAACGCTGAAGGGCCGTAACGCAAGGTGGGCGATGAGGCTCCAGGAATTCGAATTCGAGGTGAAGCACAGGCCGGGCAAGACGTTGCAGCATGTAGATGGGCTGTCTAGGCAAGGAGCAGAAGAGAGAAGGGAGAACCAGAGGAGCTCGGAAGCGGGACTAGCCTGCCTGGGCGTAGCAGCGGAACGGGAAGGCTGGAGGAGGAGGACAGAAACGGATAAAGGCAACAAGGAGATCTGGCTGGACGAGCCGGTACTACGATGGGTGAAAGGCCTGGGGGCAGAGGGAGAAGAGGTGCCAAAGCGAGTACGAGCCCGAGGGATTCACTACCGCTGGCAGGACGAACAGCTACAACTGTTGACAGAGGACGGGTGGAGAATCGTACCCAAACCCGAGGAGAGGCAAGAGCTGATCCAGAAAGTGCACACCCGCTTGGGGCACTTCGCCGTGGAAAGGACGGTACAACTATTGCAGACAATGTACTGGTGGGTGGGCCTCAGGAGAGAGGTGAAGGAACGCTTAGAGAAATGTGAACCATGCAGCAGGAACCGGGCGACGATGGAGAAGGCCAAAGCGGAGCTGCACTCGCTGCCGATTGGAGGCATCGGGTACAGGTGGTCTCTAGATATTGCAGGAGAGCTGCCTCTGTCCAGGAGAGGTAAGCAGTACATTTTGGTGATGATAGAGCATACCAGTAAATGGGTGGAGGTAGCCACGCTGGTGCGGAAATCAGCAGCAGCAGTTGCAGAAGCGTTTGTGCAACAAGTACTCACGAGGTTCGGGGCGTGTGGAGAGGTCCTCACAGACCAGGGCAGCGAATTCGCGGGGGAATTTGACAAGATGCTGAAGGAGGTGGGCATCACACATCACAGAACGTCCAGGTATCATCCACAATCAGATGGCCTGACGGAGCGTATGGTGTAGACCATAAAAAGAGGGTTGAGGAAATACTGTGAAGAAGAAGAGAAGAGGGACTAGGACGTCAAACTCCCATGGGTAGTGGCGGGGTACCGATTCAGCAAGCAACAGTCGCTGAAGGATTACTCGTCGTACTACTTGCTCTTTGGGAAGGAACCGATCTTACCGGTGGATGCCCCCAGGATAATGGTGGAGTCAATGTCAGTAGAGGACCCGGCAAAGTGGGCAGCGGTAGCAGCAGCCAGGGCCAGCTATCTGAGGACCGCAATGCCGGCGGCTTGGGAGAATTTGGAAGTGGCGCAGATCAGAGATGCTCGGCGCTACAGGCAGAGAAGGATGGAGGCCGGTGCTAATGCAAAAGGGGCTAGGGTGATAAACGTAGGAGACGAAGTGTATCTGAGGCAGCAGAGGCGAGGCACCTTAGAATGCGGGTTGAGTCGGGAACGATGGAAGGTGAGGTCGAGGAAGGACTCAGGAGTGGTGATACTGGAGGGAGGGACAGGCAGAGTGATCCAAGATCACATCTCGAATGTTGCTAGGGCAGGCTCGTCACGACATGCCAGCGGGGACGCCAGGCAGGCCGTGAGGGGGCAGGAGAGTATGGTGCAACCACTGATTACGTACCAACGGAGGAAGGACAAGAGGATGGGAGATAGACCTGGAGCGTCAGCAGGGTACTAAGGCTGAGGAGAAGAGAGTGAGCCGCCGAAGGGGAGAGGACAGTGCGACAGCTGTCGCATTATTCCATAGAACTGAAATTGTTATATGGAATATTGTAACAGCGCGAAGAGTGTAGAGAGCTGTGGTTGTGGCTAAGGTTGGAGACCGCGAGGAAACCGAGGACTCAGGGTACAGCTCGAGGCAGGGCTCGAAAGGGGGTAAGTACGGTTGGATGGGGGCCACAATGACGTGGCGGCGGGGCATGACAAGCTGAGTTGGGAGTTGGGGAGAGGGCCAGCTAAGCAAGGCAGGTCACGAGGGAAACCCCAAGGCGCCCTCACGGCGGAGAAAACCAAGAAAGGTTTGACAGGTTGTCTCATGCACAGTTGGAGGTGCTCCTAGTGCGATTCGGGGAGGGGAACAACAAAACTCGTAGAGTGACAGAGCTAAACCACTTCTGTTTGTTCTCTCGCTACTGTGGTATGCCTGTATGCTCTTCTACTAGTGAATCGGCTGGAGCAAATCTTGATCCACTAAAGAGAGGCCAAACAGAGGGTGTGCGGAGAACTAGGGACATCGTTTGTCCTAGTGCGGATCTCTTAGGAGAGTATGGTGCAACCACTGATTACGTACCAACGGAGGAAGGACAAGAGGATGGGAGATAGACCTGGAGCGTCAGCAGGGTACTAAGGCTGAGGAGAAGAGAGTGAGCCGCCGAAGGGGAGAGGACAGTGCGACAAACATGATGAGGCTGTATCACGTAAGACCATCCAAATATAGGCCTTCCATCAATGAAAAGAATTTTGCTCATAATTCCTTCTACATTACGCTATATACAGCTCTGCACGTAAGACCTCCCCCCCCCCCCCCCCCCCCACCCCCCCGCACAGATGCTTACCACGATGACATTATTCCATATATGGGTTGCATGCTGCTACTGTACATGTATCCTGTGTAACTGTGTCCTGAGACCACCTCTGTAACTGCCTGTTTTGCCTCCTCTAACCGCCTCTTGTACCTGCCTCTTGTAACTGCCTCCTGTAAGTGCTTCCTGCAAGTGCCTCCTGTAACTGCCTTCTGTAACCGCCTCCTGTAACTGCCTTCTGTAACTGCCTCCTGTAACCGTCAAATGTAACTGCCTCCTGTAACTGCCTTCCGTAACTGCCTCCTGTAACCGCCTTATGTAACTTCCTTCTGTAACTGCCTCCTGCATATGACAGCTGTAACTGCCTTCTGTAACTACCTCTTGTAACTGCATTCTGTAACTGCCTCCTGTAACCTCCTGCAAGTGCCTCATGTAACCGCCTTCTGTAACCGCCTCCTGTAAATGCCTTCTGTAACTGCCCCTCGTAACTGCCTCTTTTCTGTAACTGCCTTCTGTAACCCCCCCCATGCTTCATCCTTTCCAATACCCATTGCCTCCACGGCAGCCTTTGCCCTCCTCTACCATTCTCACTCTTCTATCCAACACCCAAACCCAACATACCCAACATCAGCGCTGTTGAAAAAACCTGAGTCGCTTTTGAGAATTCTCAAAAGCAACCCCATATACACACATGCATCCTCAATTCATGTCTGCATCAGCTCTCGGCCCAGTCAGCCCACGGCTATTCTTCTCCCCCACCCGCTCCTCGCCCACTGTTAGCCTGCTCCTTCCTCCTCTTATTCCCCTCATCCTCCCAACCACGGCACCCCAGTCTCGATCCTGTCAGCCCGTGGGTATTCTTGTCCCCAACCCCTTACCCTTTTCCCTGTTTCTTCCTCTTCTTATTCCCCACATCCTCCTACCCCGGGGTACCCTAATCTCAACCCTGTCAGCCCATGATTATTCTTGCCCCACACCCCTTACCCTGCGCCTCCACCCACCCTCTTCCCCTGCTTCTTCCTCTTCTTATTCCCCTCATCCTCCCACCTACGGCACCCCAGTCTCAGTCATGTCAGCCCATGGTTACTCTTTCCCCCCCCCACCCCCCCTACCCTTTTCCCTGCTTCTTCCTCTTCCTGTTCCCCCCATCCTCCAATCCCCAACTCCCTAATCTCGACCCTGTCAGCCCATGAACATTCTTGCCCACCCCCCCACCCCTTACCCTGCTCCTCCACCCACCCTCTTTCCCTGCTTCTTCCTCTTCTTCTTCCCCTCGTCCTCCCATCCCCCGCACTTCAACTTCGATCCACTCTTTTTGAGATGCCTACAAAATCAGCCCCTACCCTGCTCCTCCTCCCCCCCTCGTTCCTTTCTTCTTCCTCTTCTTCTTCCCCTCATCCTCCCACCCCGGGCACTTCAATTTCGATCCTGTCAGCCCGAAAATGTCCACATGTGCATCGAGCTGCGCCAATCGCAGCTGGACACGTGGCAGGCGGGTGCACTGCAGGCAGAGGAGGAACCACATGTTCCTCTCTGCATGCGGATTCGATACAAGCAACTTCTTACCAGGAGTACACGCTCCCAAAAGCTTCCGTTTCGCAGAGGGAGCGTTGGGAGGGGTAGAGACGGGAGGCAGCTTGGCGTGCCGGGCTATGAACTCGCCCTTGCCTCCGCAGCTCCTGCAGGCATGGCGGAAGAAGAGAGAGCGCCACTGGGGGAAAGGGGGGGAATGGGGGAAAGGGGGGGAAGGGGGGAAGGGGCGGACGAGAAGACATTGGATGGAGCATGCATGGGGGAACAGGGAACAATGAGTCTGCCCCCCAATACCACCGCAGGTCCTGCAGGCATGGCGGAAGAAGAGCGAGCGCCACTGGGGGAAAGGGGGGGATAGGGGGGGAAAGGGGGAAGGGGCGGACGAGAAGACATTGGATGGAGCATGCATGGGGAAGCAGGGAACAATGAGTCTGCCCCCCAATACCACCGCAGGTCCTGCAGGCATGGCGGAAGAAGAGCGAGCGCCACTGGGTGGGAGAGGGGGGAGCAAGGGGGGAGAGCAAGGGGAAGTGTGAGAGAGATTGGGGAAGTGAGCAGAGAGGGGGGACAACAGGGCGGAAAACCCAGGAGGGGCGGGGAAGGGACAAGCTCTCATGCTGAAGATTTTACAGCAGGGTAAGCGAGAAATGGTAGGGTTACCAGAAAAAAAACAAAGAGAATTACGGGGAAGTGGGGATGAGAGAGGGAGGAAGTGAGGATGTGAGTGAGGGAGTGAGTGAGGGAGTGAGGGAGGGAGTGAGGGAGAGCTCACAGGATGGAAGTAGGAAAGCTCTGTCTGCTCTGCCCTCGAGGTCGTCTTGGTGGTTTCCACCCTTTCTTTAAGTCGACTCAGACATAGGCTCAATAGCACGCGATTTAGATGCTAAGAAGTTGTTTGCTGCTCACAGGTCGGAAGGAGGAGAGCTCTGTCTGCCCTCGAGGTCGTCTCGGTGGTTTCCACCCTTTCCTCTCGCACTCCCTATGAAACAGATGCTCGCTCGCATGCGACCAGAACCGACACACCTGGGGGGATAGGGGGACAAGAAAGGACAAGGAAAGAGAATGGGAAAGGTACCTTCACATCCGTACCTCTAAGGAATTAACACGCTGGTTCGCTCATCGGCTGTTTTGCTTTATTCCTTCTCGCTCTCATCTTTCCCTCGCGCTCGCTCTACCTTTCCTTCTCGCTCGCTCTACCCTTCGTTTATAGAAGCACCGGGGACGAAAAGGGTGAGAGCGAGAAGGGCAGAAGGGATGTAAAGCGCTTTCAACTTGGCAGGTGACGCGATCGCGAATTAGGGTTACCACCTTGACGGGCCTCGCTGACGAAAGAGGGTACCTGCGACGCGGCGAGGATAGTTTTAAACGGCAGTTTCGCGAAGATCGCGGACAGAAGATCGATGTCGCGACGCTCAGTCAACTCGTGGAGCACGTGCGGGGGATCCTGAGGTTCCGCCATCTGCGGCGATTGCTGATCGTTACTGCACGCGATTAGTCGCACTTACGACGACAGTCTAGGGAGCCATGGGGAAGCGTATATGTGACGGCTTGAAAACCACCAATACAGACAAGACACCAGAAAAATGAAATGGAGGGAGGCAACGTGACACCCAAGGGGCGACACACGATTTGATTATGCGGTTTCGTAAGACGATGTGCGCTTTAGAATGTTTGGTTGCTCTCGTGTACGGTATTGAGCGTTTTTAAAGCATCTTCAAAAGTCGTTAGTGATAGAAAGCTCCGTACGCGGTATCATTACATATCAGTCGCGGTTCTAGAAGTTCCATGCAAAAAGCGGGGAGTTACTGGGATATATATGTAAGATCACACTTAACACACACCGCATCACATTATCTGAAACTTCAGCACACATGATATATGTGGAGACTGTCATCCTACCTGAAGATTTTAGAAGATTTAACAGGTGCACTTTTTTTAGGGGCTAAATAAGTGCTGGAACCTCAGAATTAATCAAATGATGCAAGCATTGTTCGTCAAATTGGTACAACCTCTTGCATTATATCCAAAGACACAAGCTCCTTCCACTTCTCAACAAATTCCATCCGATTTCCCTCCTTGAGCGGCCTTGGAGAAACAAATACTACCTTGTTCACATCCCCAGGCACAGTCGATTCAAACATCTGCCCGACAGGAAAAGAATTCCTCAGCTGCCCGAGGAAAGATTGATATGTAGAAGCTGCCCAAGGAACAACATTTATAGCAAGAAGCCCGTCCGGTCGTATTACTGTAGCAAGTGAGCGGAGAAAACGAGGTGTAGTGAACTCTTGGGGGGGTGCGTTGAGACCAGAGCGAGGGTCCCAAGAGTCTATATCGAGGATAACTACATGGAATTGGAGAGGGGATGGTGTAGAAGGTGCGAAGTAGGAAACTCTTGGGGAACGCTGCTGCTGGTGATGCTGCTGCTTGACCTGCTCTACCTCTTGCTTCTCCAGTCCCTCTTGCCCAATCTTCTCCTCGCATCTTGCCAAACGCAACTTGGGTCGCTTCGATTCAAATCCTGCTGCTCTTTGAATCCGGGCTGCCAGTCTCACTACATATTGCCTAGCATCCCCAATATGCACACGAATGTCACCCTTCATCTCTCTCCTTCTATTCCTCCAAGTGCCCTTCTCCCTTCCCCTCTTGCCACCATTCTCTCTCCCCTTGCTTACCTCCCTCCCCATTCGCATCTGCCTCTCTCCCCTCCTCCTCGCACGTTCCTCCCTCCATTTAAGTCGCATTCCTCCATGCCCAACGCCTGATGAGGCCATGCTCGCATCAGGCCTGCCCTTCCTCTCTTCTGACCCATCCAACGCCCGGCTCTTTGGGCTCGCTAGCCGGGCATTGGATGGCCTCCACACTTTCCTCTCTTTTTCTGAGTCATCCAGCCCCCGGCTCGCGAGCCCAAAGAGCCTCTGTGCCACGCAGTGCATGAGCGCATCGATTTCCACCACCTGATGGGGTGGACGAGTGGGGCGGGAGGAGGGGGTTCTTGAGGGGAGTGAGGAGAGAAAAAGGGATTAGGTTTTGATCTTATTAGCCTCTGTGCCACAAGGTGCATGAGCGCATCGATTGCCACCACCTGGTGGGGTGGAGGGGTGAGAGTGAGGGGGGGGATGAGGAGTGGGGAGTGCGGAGCGAGGAGGAGGAACGGGTTTGATCCCAGTAGATTCTGTGTCAGGTTGATGCGCAATACACCCGATCTACTCGACTTGCCTGAATGTGGTAGTCCGGTCGGTGCGCGTTCAGGTACATGGGCAGAGTGAACGCCCCTCCTCCTAACACCAGCACTCGCACTCCCTCTCTCCTCCCCCCCTCCCCTGTGTCTCTCTCTAAGGCCGGCTGGTCTCTCCCCTCCTCCCCCCCTCCCCTCCTCCCTCTCTCTCTTTCCTCAGCCACTCCTCTCTCTGAAAGGAGCTGGACTCTCCCCTCCAAAGCAGGGGCGGCGAGAGGGAACCCGCCGAGGATAGGAGGGAGGTACTTGTGGGTGAGATGTGAGTAGTCTGGATCCAGGTGGTGATTAAGATGGGGGGGGATGGGAGGAGGAGGATGACGAGGATGAGTGGTACAGGATGTGACTATAGAGGGAGGGACTTGTGTTTTTTGAGGTGTATCAGGGGTAGCCCATGTTGTGACTATACGGAGCGGGACTTCTGATTGGATAAGGTTGGGGAGGCGTCGGAATCGCAGCCGGCGGCGTAACACTACAGGGATCATTGGGTTTGCAGTAACAGGGTTACCATCACCAGTCGTTGAACCACCACCTATAGGGTTGGCCCCGTTACTAGGGTTACCACGCCCAGTAGGGTTACGACCTCCAATAGGGTTTACACTTCTAATAGAGTTACCACCACCATTCGCTGCCAGTGCTACATCCTCCACTAACAACGGCCCAGTGAGTCCAGTACTAGGGTTGCCAGCACCAGTAGGGTTACCAGCACCAGTAGGGTTACCAGCACCAGTAGGGTTACCAGCACCACTAGGGTTACCAGCACCAGTTGAGTTACCACGAACATCCGCTGCCAGTGCTACATCCTCCACAAGCAATGGTCCAGTGAGCCTAGAGCGCGCTACCAGACGAACCTTCCTAGCAATTACATCGTCCTGGAAAACGAGCCATGGGATGAGGGAAGTCGAGGAGGTGGGTGGTGCGTGTGAATGAAGCGAGAGTGGTGGGTGTGACTCAAATGAAAGTGGTGGTGTGTGTGAGTGAATGGGGAGAGGAGGAAGAAAGGAGGAGGGGGCACGAGAGTGGGATTGGGGGGAAGCAGCAGAGTGGGGTGGATCAGACGCATGGGATTGCGGGGAAGGGAAGAGGCTTCGAGGGGCAAGCGCTGTGAGGAGATGGGCCAATGCAGCCTTGATCGCACCATCACTATTGCAGTTCTCATGCCTATCACCATGCCTATCACCATGCCTATCGCCATGCCTATCAGCATGCCTATCACCACCACCAGTGCTGTCACTGTCAATGCCACCACACCGCCTCATGAACAGCAAAGGCTCTTCTGGCGAGACAGTAATTGGAGAAGAATCAGCGTTATTCTGTGGATCCGTATTGACTCGCTTGGCTCGGCATTCCCAAGGGAAGTCGTCACTGTTGTTGTTACAGTTACTGTTGCTGTTCCTGCCGTCCCGTGCCTTGCCCTCACATACTGCCAAAAGCTCCCACTTGCTGCCGCCCGGGCCAATCCAGTCCGGATCAGATCTCCGTGGCAGTCTGCAGATACTACTGCTGCTGCCAGTGGTAACTCCAGAAATCAGATCTGATTCGATTCTAAAGCTACTAGACTTCCGGCGCTTCACACAAGTTTTCCTGTCTCTCCCAACCGTCCCTTCCCTTTCCGGCGTTACGCCATGTGCTGTCAGCACGCTCCTGCCCTCTCTGAAGAAAGGACGGAGCAGCTTCCTTTGGAGGCATCGCGATAGAAATGGCCGGAATCTAGACCCGGCAGCCATGGCTGCTGCAGAAGACACGGGCTGTTTGCGCTGAGATTGCATGAACATAGGAACAGTTGCGCTGGAGGCGGCGCGAGCGGAGCTGGCCGCGCGGTTCCGTCTTGTGACAATAACGAGTCTTCTCGTATTGGCACTCCGAAGCAGCTGCCACTGCCCGCCTGCTGACGTGTACACCCAATCTCTCTCGCTGCCACGTGGCACGAGCATGGCTGCGTGGAGGTGAGTATACCGAGGTGGATCCGTGTCGCCTTCGTTTATATCACCTTCGCCATCGGGAGCATCCAAAACGGTGACTGTAACGAGCGTTTCCCCGTCGGACCCACTCCGACCTTCTAACGGGTACATGAACACTTTCCGCCTTCCTGGATGGAAACCCTCAAATTCATCCTCTTGGCTCCCTCTCGCTACAGCCACATCCGTTTCCATCGCAGCAGTACACGCATTCGAATCCAGGACGGTGCGCACACGCACTCGCACAAGCTTTCCAGTCCTTTCACGGTTCGGCGCCTTGCTTGTGTACCCGCTTCAACACGTCTCGACACGCACTCGCAATCAGGTTCTAATGAGAGCTGTTCGGTAGAAGAAAGAAAGAAAGAAGAAATCGTAACAATGGGATACTGAATTCATAGCGTAATAGTGACGCTTTTGGAGATTCCGCGAAGCGGCAAAGGCGGTATGCTTTCTGTGAGATGCCTGCCTGTGAACGCAGTGCTGACCACTGTCACTACACTCGAGACAATCTAATATTGTAAGTGGTTATGTTTCCGATAATCATGGTTTCATTTCTGATCCTCGCATGCGGTTTAATGGGTTTCTTCACTTTCAGACTCGGTTCAAATACGTACCACTGATGCATACATGGCAACTCATTTCCCTCCCACTTCAACAACAACCTGTAATGTAATCTCAATGTTATATCTATCAATTGACACACTCTTTTAACTTTAATTGAAGCACCCTCTGCCCGAACATTTTGTGAACCTTTTCCAGCCATCCACCAACTTCACTGATAGCCTATCAGGATTCTAGTCTGGTCCCCAGCACTCTTATTAGGTATCCTTCACCAGATTATCGATTTCCCAAATGTCAGCATTATTGTCATCGTCGCTCGGCGAAGTTAGTAGAATCGGTTGAAATCGTCGTCGTCACTAATCGATTCGAAAGCAGTCGTCAACGTCGCCAGGCGAGTCAGTAACAATCGCTCAGCGCGCTCGTCGATGGTGCTGCTGCTGCGATGGACGACGGCGGCGCTGCGAAATCTTACCGTCCGTCCACGTCAGCACCGCGAAGCCGCCACGTTACCTTCTGGCTTATCCAAGCCATACTGGGAATCGCCCTGGTCGCCTGGGTCTCTCGCTCCCTCCTCTCCTCCTCCCTCCTCTCATTCTCCTGCGATCTCTCGGTAAGATTCGGCATATCCTTTTCTATCGCTCTGTTCGCCGGCGTCTCTCGATCGCTCCTCTCCTCCTCCCTCCTCTCATTCTCCTGCGATCTCTCGGTGAGCATCTGGTGTATTTTCCTATCCTCTCCCCCCACTACCTGCTCTCCTCCCCTCCTCCTCCTTCCTCTCCTTCTCCTGCCATCTATCGGTGAGAATCTGTCGTATTTTCCATTCCCGTTTCCATTCTCTCGATTCCTTCTTTCCTCCTCCATCCTCTCATTCTCCTGTGACCTGTGGGTGTGAATCCGCCGTTTTTTTCCATTTCCATACCTCTCCTCCTCTCCTCCTCCCCTCCTCTCCACCTCTCCTCCTCTCCTCCTCTCCACCCACCTCTCCTCCTCTCCTCCTCTCCACCCCTCCTCCTCTCCTCCTCTCCTCCTCTCCTCCTTCATCTCCGTTTGAGGCGACTTAACCCTTCCCCTCTCTTTCCACCTCCCTCTCCTTTTCTCCGCTCTCTCCTTTTCCACCCCTCTCTTTCCACCTCCCTCTCCTTTTCTCCGCTCTCTCCTTTTCCACCCCTCTCTTTCCACCTCCCTCTCCTTTTCTCCGCTCTCTCCTTTTCCACCCCTCTCTATCTCAACCTCCTCTCCTGTTCACTCCTCACTGCTCTTCACACACACCCCTCGTCCATACCACCATCAGGATCACATCAATGCAACCCTATCAGCCCAGGTACCTTCTTTTGAGTCTACTCCCTCTCCTTTTCGCTCCCCTCTCCCATTCACCCCTTATCCCCACCACCATCAGGATCACATCAATGCAACCCTATCAGCCCAGGTACCTTCTTTTTAGTCTAATCCCTCTCCTTTTCGCTCCCCTCTCCCATTCACCCCTCATCCCCACCACCATCAGGATCACATCAATGCCACCCTATCAGCCCAGGTACCTTCTTTTGAGTCTACTCCCTCTCCTTTTCGCTCCCCTCTCCCATTCACCCCTCATCCCCACCACCATCAGGATCACATCAATGCCACCCTATCAGCCCAGGTACCTCCTTTTGAGGCGTTTCAAACCCTCGAACCCCTTTCTTCCCCTCCCTTTTCTCCCCTTTTCCTCTTCACCCTCTTCCACACCACCATCAGGACAACATCAATGCCACGCTATCAGCCCAGGTACCTTCTTATCATCCCAACCCAGTGCCCCTCTCGTGTTTCCTTCCTTGCACTACTACCGGCCATTCTTTCTAAAAGAGTTCATTTACGACGCATCTTGGTCATTTCTCCACCTCCCACCTCCAACCCCACCCCACTCATCATCCTTTCGTTGCCAGCTCAGATCTTCTCGTCACGTCATTTACTTTCCCTACTAGTGAAGGCGCCACTAGACCTTTCCGTGTTTCACTCGGGTGTCATATTGCGTGTGACTGCATGGCATGGGATGGTATATCATGGCATGCGATGGCACATCATGGCATGGGATGGCACATCATGGCATGGGATGGCACATCATGGCATGGGATGGCACATCATGGCATGGGATGGCACATCATGGCATGGGATGGCACATCATGGCATGGGATGGCACATCATGGCATGGGATGGCACATCATGGCATGGGATGGCACATCATGGCATGGGATGGCACATCATGGCATGGGATGGCACATCATGGCATGGGATGGCACATCATGGCATGGGATGGCACATCATGGCATGCGATGGCACATCATGGCATGGGATGGCACATCATGGCATGCGATGGCACATCATGGCATGGGATGGCACATCATGGCATGGGATGGCACATCATGGCATGGGATGGCACATCATGGCATAGGATGGCACATCATGGCATGCGATGGCACATCATGGCATGCGATGGCACATCATGGCATGGGATGGCACATCATGGCATGCGATGGCACATCATGGCATGCGATGGCACATCATGGCATGGGATGGCACATCATGGCATGCGATGGCACATCATGGCATGCGATGGCACATCATGGCATGGGATGGCACATCATGGTACAATATGAATGGCTGCCTTGTTTTTGTTGCTCGTTGTGGCACAGCAAGGGCACAACGAGGAGGCGGCTGAAGCATTGGAGAAAGCCATACGAGCCCTCATGGTAAGGTGGTGGAGTGGAGAGCGAGTTGACTCTTGAGTTGGCTCAAAAGGCAGCTGAAGCACTGGAGAAAGCCTTACGAGCTCTCATGGTAAGTCCATAACTGCTAGCAAGTCGTGAGTCCATTGCGAGTTGACTCGAAAACGAATACATGTTAACAGCATGTACATCAAAATCTTTTATCACCTCACCTACATCCACCCTCCAACCACCTTCCTTCATCTGTATTTCCCTTCCTCCTCTTTCCTTTCTCGTTCCCTTCATCCTTCTTCCTCTTTTGCATGTCTTCACGCCTCTCCCCTTGTCTGTCGCATGCACATATACAGGTTGACAAGCCGCTTCCATCGCTAGCTGACGCTGCTGCCCGTGCTGCTTACGTGCATCTGCTGCCACCCCCGCCCTCAATTCTCCACCTTTCCTCTCTCCTGAAACTTCTGCTCCTCCTCTCCCATCGCTCCTCTTCCTCTCCTCTGTTTCCCATTGCATGCAGGTGGACAAGCCTCTGCCATCCCTAGCTGATGCTGCTGTCCGTGCTGCTTTCGACTGTTGAGACGTCCCAAGCCTTTCTCTCCTCTCATTCCCCTCGCTTGCATGCATGCAGGTGGACAAGCCTCTGCCATCCCTAGCTGATGCTGCTGTCCATGCTGCTTTCGACTGTTGAGACGTCCCAAGCCTTTCTCTCCTCTCATTCCCCTCGCTTGCATGCATGCAGGTCAACAAGCCTCTGCCATCCCTAGCAGACGCTGCTGTCCGTGCTGCCTTCGTGCATCTGCTGCTCCCCGCTCCCTCCAACCTCTCCTCCTCGTCCCCCTCCTTCTTCTCCCTCTCCTCCTCCAATGATTCACCGCCTCCTGTTTCCAACTCTCAAGCACCCAGTGCTTCCGCCACTGCTAACGATCCCACTGACCCGACTGCTGCTATTGGCCACACGGCTGCTTCGTCTATTGCGAATAGTGTCTCTGCTTCTGAGGATAGATTCTCCCCTGGGTTTTCTGTGGATGAGCATGCGGGGTGTGAGAGCTTCTGTGCGACCTGCATTCGCCCACTCAACTGCTCCCTCGTGCCCTCCTTTCCCTGCTCCTGCTGCCGCCGGCCCGACACGCCTGCTAATGTTGCTGCCTTGGATGGAGATTCGGAGGATGGTGGTGATGGTGGTGTTGGTGATAGTAGTGGTGGTGGCAGAGGTGTGACTATAACAGGAGCTCAGGGTGGGTCAGAGTCCTGTAAAGAGGAGGCCAGGGGTGGGGATAGTGCAGGGGGAGGGGGAGGAGTGGGGGAGGGGGGAGCGGGGGGGAGGGGGAGGAGGGGGAGAGGAGGGAGGAGAAAGGGAGGCGAGGAAACCGGCTTGTGTTGACGGCACGGCGGAGGGCCGATGGGTGAATTACACGTGGTGGGAGGCAGACGAGTGTGAGTACAGGTGAGAAGTAGGGCGGATGATAGTTTACTTAGGATGAGTAGGCATGACATGAAAGGACGCAGTGCGAAGGGGATACCACACAGGGTGGCGGCAGTTCGATGGGTGAATCACACATGGTGGAAGGCAGATGAGTGTGAGCACAGGTGAGAAGAAGGGCGTATGAGAGTGTTTTATGGTGAGGGCATAGCGTGTTGATCAAATACTGCGACAGCACGTATTGAGACGCCACGTGTGTACAGTGAATTTTTGAGACGTCTAAAGAAATTCACTGTATCGGTGAAGGCATAGCGTGTTGAACGAGTATGGAGACCTGTTCGCCCCTCTTCCCTTCCATCCATCACACAGTGACCTCTTTGGTCCCAACCTCTTCAGCTGTCTCAAATGAAAGGTAGTCGGCTCACTACTTGGGCGACCAGACCAGTCAACCCCTTATTTTCTCTCCTCCCCTGTGCCTGTCTGCTCGCTTACCCTCCCTGCTCTCGCACTCCCCCCCTCTGCTCTCACACTCCCCCCTCTGCTCTCGCACTCCCCCCTCTGCTCTCGCACTCCTCCCCTCTGCTCTCGCACTCCTCTCCTCTGCTCTCGCACTCCTCCCCTCTGCTCTCGCACTCCTCCCCTCTGCTCTCGCACTCCCCCCCTCTGCTCTCGCACTCCCCCCTCTGCTCTCGCACTCCCCCCTCTGCTCTCGCACTCCTCCCCTCTGCTCTCGCACTCCTCCCCTCTGCTCTCGCACTCCTCCCCTCTGCTCTCGCACTCCCCCCTCTGCTCTCCCACTCCTCCCCTCTGCTCTCGCACTCCTCCTCTCTGCTCTCGCACTCCTCCTCTCTGCTCTCGGCTCCTCCTCTCTGCTCTCCCACTCCTCCCCTCTGCTCTCGCACTCCTCCTCTCTGCTCTCGCACTCCCCCCTCTGCTCTCCCACTCCCCCCCTCTGCTCTCGCACTCCTCCCCTCTGCTCTCGCACTCCCCCCTCTGCTCTCGCACTCCTCCCCTCTGCTCTCGCACTCCTCCCCTCTGCTCTCGCACTCCTCCCCTCTGCTCTCGCACTCCCCCCCTCTGCTCTCGCACTCCCCCCTCTGCTCTCCCACTCCTCCCCTCTGCTGTCGCACTCCTCCTCTCTGCTCTCGCACTCCTCCTCTCTGCTCTCGCACTCCTCCTCTCTGCTCTCCCACTCCTCCCCTCTGCTCTCGCACTCCTCATCTCTGCTCTCGCACTCCCCCCTCTGCTCTCCCACTCCCCCCCTCTGCTCTCGCACTCCTCCCCTCTGCTCTCGCACTCCTCCCCTCTGCTCTCGCACTCCTCCCCTCTGCTCTCGCACTCCTCCCCTCTGCTCTCGCACTCCCCCCCTCTGCTCTCGCACTCCCCCCTCTGCTCTCGCACTCCCCCCTCTGCTCTCGCACTCCTCCCCTCTGCTCTCGCACTCCTCCCCTCTGCTCTCGCACTCCTCCCCTCTGCTCTCGCACTCCCCCCTCTGCTCTCCCACTCCTCCCCTCTGCTCTCGCACTCCTCCTCTCTGCTCTCGCACTCCTCCTCTCTGCTCTCGGCTCCTCCTCTCTGCTCTCCCACTCCTCCCCTCTGCTCTCGCACTCCTCCTCTCTGCTCTCGCGCTCCCCCCTCTGCTCTCCCACTCCCCCCCTCTGCTCTCGCACTCCCCCCTCTGCTCTCCCACTCCTCCCCTCTGCTCTCGCACTCCTCCCCTCTGCTCTCGCACTCCCCCCTCTGCTCTCGCACTCCTCCCCTCTGCTCTCGCACTCCTCCCCTCTGCTCTCGCACCCCTCCCCTCTGCTCTCGCACTCCCCCCTCTGCTCTCCCACTCCTCCCCTCTGCTCTCGCACTCCTCCTCTCTGCTCTCGCATTCCTCCTCTCTGCTCTCGCACTCCTCCTCTCTGCTCTCCCACTCCTCCCCTCTGCTCTCGCACTCCTCCTCTCTGCTCTCGCACTCCCCCCTCTGCTCTCCCACTCCCCCCCTCTGCTCTCGCACTCCTCCCCTCTGCTCTCGCACTCCTCCCCTCTGCTCTCGCACTCCTCCCCTCTGCTCTCGCACTCCTCCCCTCTGCTCTCGCACTCCCCCCCTCTGCTCTCGCACTCCCCCCTCTGCTCTCCCACTCCTCCCCTCTGCTCTCGCACTCCTCCTCTCTGCTCTAGCACTCCTCCTCTCTGCTCTCGCACTCCTCCTCTCTGCTCTCCCACTCCTCCCCTCTGCTCTCGCACTCCTCCTCTCTGCTCTCGCACTCCCCCCTCTGCTCTCCCACTCCCCCCCTCTGCTCTCGCACTCCTCCCCTCTGCTCTCACACTCCTCCCCTCTGCTCTCGCACTCCTCCCCTCTGCTCTCGCACTCCTCCCCTCTGCTCTCGCACTCCCCCCTCTGCTCTCGCACTCCTCCTCTCTGCTCTCGCACTCCTCGTCTCTGCTCTCGCACTCCTCGTCTCTGCTCTCGCACTCCTCCTCTCTGCTCTCGCACTCCTCCTCTCTGCTCTCGCACTCCTCCTCTCTGCTCTCGCACTCCTCTCTGCTCTCGCACTCCTCCTCTCTGCTCTCGCACTCCTCCTCTCTGCTCTCGCACTCCTCCCCTCTGCTCTCGCACTCCTCTCTGCTCTCGCACTCCTCCTCTCTGCTCTCGCACTCCTCCTCTCTGCTCTCGCACTCCTCCCCTCTGCTCTCGCACTCCTCCCCTCTGCTCTCGCACTCCCCCCTCTGCTCTCCCACTCCTCCCCTCTGCTCTCGCACTCCTCCACTCTGCTCTCGCACTCCTCTCTGCTCTCCCACTCCTCCCCTCTGCTCTCGCACTCCTCCTCTTTGCTCTCGCACTCCCCCCTCTGCTCTCCCACTCCCCCCCTCTGCTCTCGCACTCCCCCCTCTGCTCTCCCACTCCTCCCCTCTGCTCTCCCACTCCTCCCCTCTGCTCTCGCACTCCCCCCTCTGCTCTCGCACTCCTCCCCTCTGCTCTCGCACTCCTCCCCTCTGCTCTCGCACCCCTCCCCTCTGCTCTCGCACTCCCCCCTCTGCTCTCCCACTCCTCCCCTCTGCTCTCGCACTCCTCTCTGCTCTCGCATTCCTCCTCTCTGCTCTCGCACTCCTCCTCTCTGCTCTCCCACTCCTCCCCTCTGCTCTCGCACTCCTCCTCTCTGCTCTCGCACTCCCCCCTCTGCTCTCCCACTCCCCCCCTCTGCTCTCGCACTCCTCCCCTCTGCTCTCGCACTCCTCCCCTCTGCTCTCGCACTCCTCCCCTCTGCTCTCGCACTCCTCCCCTCTGCTCTCGCACTCCCCCCCTCTGCTCTCGCACTCCCCCCTCTGCTCTCCCACTCCTCCCCTCTGCTCTCGCACTCCTCCTCTCTGCTCTAGCACTCCTCCTCTCTGCTCTAGCACTCCTCCTCTCTGCTCTCCCACTCCTCCCCTCTGCTCTCGCACTCCCCCCTCTGCTCTCCCACTCCCCCCCTCTGCTCTCGCACTCCTCCCCTCTGCTCTCACACTCCTCCCCTCTGCTCCCGCACTCCTCCCCTCTGCTCTCGCACTCCTCCCCTCTGCTCTCGCATGCCCCCCCTCGGCTCTCGCACTCCCCCCTCTGCTCTCGCACTCCCCCCTCTGCTCTCGCACTCCTCCTCTCTGCTCTCGCACTCCTCATCTCTGCTCTCGCACTCCTCGTCTCTGCTCTCGCACTCCTCGTCTCTGCTCTCGCACTCCTCCTCTCTGCTCTCGCACTCCTCCTCTCTGCTCTCGCACTCCTCTCTGCTCTCGCACTCCTCCTCTCTGCTCTCGCACTCCTCGTCTCTGCTCTCGCACTCCTCCTCTCTGCTCTCGCACTCCTCCTCTCTGCTCTCGCACTCCTCTCTGCTCTCGCACTCCTCCTCTCTGCTCTCGCACTCCTCCTCTCTGCTCTCGCACTCCTCCCCTCTGCTCTCGCACTCCTCCTCTCTGCTCTCGCACTCCTCCTCTCTGCTCTCGCACTCCTCCTCTCTGCTCTCGCACTCCTCCCCTCTGCTCTCGCACTCCTCCCCTCTGCTCTCGCACTCCCCCCTCTGCTCTCCCACTCCTCCCCTCTGCTCTCGCACTCAGCCACTCTGCTCTCGCACTCTTCCTCTCTGCTCTCCCACTCCTCCCCTCTGCTCTCGCACTCCTCCTCTCTGCTCTCGCACTCCCCCCTCTGCTCTCCCACTCCCCCCCTCTGCTCTCGCACTCCTCCCCTCTGCTCTCGCACTCCTCCCCTCTGCTCTCGCACTCCTCCCCTCTGCTCTCGCACTCCCCCCTCTGCTCTCCCACTCCTCCCGTCTGCTCTCGCACTCCTCCTCTCTGTTCTCGCACTCCTCCTCTCTGCTCTCGCACTCCTCCTCTCTGCTCTCCCACTCCTCCCCTCTGCTCTCGCACTCCTCCTCTCTGCTCTCGCACTCCTCCTCTCTGCTCTCGCACTCCTCCCGTCTGCTCTCGCACTCCTCCTCTCTGTTCTCGCACTCCTCCTCTCTGCTCTCGCACTCCTCCCCTCTGCTCTCGCACTCCTCCCCTCTGCTCTCGCACTCCTCCCCTCTGCTCTCGCACTCCCCCCTCTGCTCTCCCACTCCTCCCGTCTGCTCTCGCACTCCTCCTCTCTGTTCTCGCACTCCTCCTCTCTGCTCTCGCACTCCTCCTCTCTGCTCTCCCACTCCTCCCCTCTGCTCTCGCACTCCTCCTCTCTGCTCTCGCACTCCTCCTCTCTGCTCTCCCACTCCTCCCCTCTGCTCTCCCACTCCTCCTCTTTGCTCTCGCACTCCCCCCTCTGCTCTCCCACTCCCCCCCTCTGCTCTCGCACTCCCCCCTCTGCTCTCCCACTCCTCCCCTCTGCTCTCCCACTCCTCCCCTCTGCTCTCGCACTCCTCCCCTCTGCTCTCGCACTCCCCCCTCTGCTCTCGCACTCCCCCCTCTGCTCTCGCACTCCTCCCCTCTGCTCTCCCACTCCTCCCCTCTGCTCTCGCACTCCCCCCTCTGCTCTCGCACTCCCCCCTCTGCTCTCGCACTCCTCCCCTCTGCTCTCGCACTCCTCCCCTCTGCTCTCGCACTCCTCCCCTCTGCTCTCGCACTCCTCCCCTCTGCTCTCGCACTCCTCCCCTCTGCTCTCGCACTCCTCCCCTCTGCTCTCGCACTCCTCCCCTCTGCTCTCGCACTCCTCCCCTCTGCTCTCGCACTCCCCCCTCTGCTCTCCCACTCCTCCCCTCTGCTCTCGCACAACTCCTCTCTACTCTCGCACTCCTCCTCTCTGCTCTCGCACTCCTCCTCTCTGCTCTCCCACTCCTCCCCTCTGCTTTCGCACTCCTCCCCTCTGCTCTCGCACTCCCCCCTCTGCTCTCCCACTCCTCCCCTCTGCTCTCGCACTCCTCCTCTCTGCTCTTGCACTCCTCCTCTCTGCTCTGGCACTCCTCCTCTCTGCTCTCCCACTCCTCCCGTCTGCTCTCCCACTCCCCCCCTCTGCTCTCGCACTCCCCCCTCTGCTCTCCCACTCCTCCCCTCTTCTCTCCCACTCCCCCCCTCTGCTCTCGCACTCCCCCCCTCTGCTCTCCCACTCCCCCCCTCTGCTCTCGCATTCCCCCCTCTGCTCTTCCACTCCTCCCCTCTGCTCTCCCACTCCTCCCCTCTGCTCTCGCACTCCCCCCCTCTGCTCTCGCACTCCCCCCTCTGCTCTCGCACTCCTCCCCTCTGCTCTCGCACTCCTCCCCTCTGCTCTCGCACTCCCCCCTCTGCTCTCGCACTCCTCCCCTCTGCTCTCGCACTCCTCCCCTCTGCTCTCGCACTCCTCCCCTCCGCTCTCGCACTCCCCCCTCTGCTCTCCCACTCCTCCCCTCTGCTCTCGCACTCCTCCTCTCTGCTCTCGCACTCCTCCTCTCTGCTCTCGCACTCCTCCTCTCTGCTCTCCCACTCCTCCCCTCTGCTCTCGCGCTCCTCCCCTCTGCTCTCGCACTCCTCCCCTCTGCTCTCGCACTCCTCCCCTCTGCTCTCGCACTCCTCCCCTCTGCTCTCGCACTCGTCCCCTCTGCTCTCGCACTCCCCCCTCTGCTCGCCCACTCCTCCCCTCTGCTCTCGCACTCCTCCTCTCTGCTCTCGCACTCCCCCCTCTGCTCTCCCACTCCTCCCCTCTTCTCTCCCACTCCCCCCCCTCTGCTCTCGCACTCCCCCCTCTGCTCTCCCACTCCTCCCCTCTGCTCTTCCACTCCTCCCCTCTGCTCTCCCACTCCTCCCCTCTGCTCTCGCACTCCCCCCCTCTGCTCTCGCACTCCCCCCTCTGCTCTCGCACTCCCCCCTCTGCTCTCGCACTCCTCCCCTCTGCTCTCGCACTCCTCCCCTCTGCTCTCGCACTCCTCCCCTCTGCTCTCGCACTCCCCCCTCTGCTCTCGCACTCCTCCCCTCTGCTCTCGCACTCCTCCCCTCTGCTCTCGCACTCCTCCCCTCCGCTCTCGCATTCCCCCCTCTGCTCTCCCACTCCTCCCCTCTGCTCTCGCACTCCTCCTCTCTGCTCTCGCACTCCTCCTCTCTGCTCTCGCACTCCTCCTCTCTGCTCTCCCACTCCTCCCCTCTGCTCTCGCGCTCCTCCCCTCTGCTCTCGCACTCGTCCCCTCTGCTCTCGCACTCCTCCCCTCTGCTCTCGCACTCCCCCCTCTGCTCTCCCACTCCTCCCCTCTGCTCTCGCACTCCTCCTCTCTGCTCTCGCACTCCTCCTCTCTGCTCTCGCACTCCTCCTCTCTGCTCTCCCACTCCTCCCCTCTGCTCTCGCACTCCTCCTCTCTGCTCTCGCACTCCCCCCTGTGCTCTCCCACTCCCCCCTTCTGCTCTCGCACTCCCCCCTCTGCTCTCCCACTCCTCCCCTCTGCTCTCCCACTCCTCCCCTCTGCTCTCGCACTCCTCCTCTCTGCTCTCCCACTCCTCCCCTCTGCTCTCGCACTCCTCCTCTCTGCTCTCGCACTCCCCCCTCTGCTCTCCCACTCCCCCCCTCTGCTCTCGCACTCCCCCCTCTGCTCTCCCACTCCTCCCCTCTGCTCTCCCACTCCTCCCCTCTGCTCTCCCACTCCTCCCCTCTGCTCTCGCACTCCTCCCTTCTGCTCTCGCACTCCCCCCTCTGCTCTCGCACTCCCCCCTCTGCTCTCGCACTCCTCCCCTCTGCTCTCGCACTCCTCCCCTCTGCTCTCGCACTCCTCCCCTCTGCTCTCGCACTCCCCTCTCTGCTCTCCCACTCCTCCCCTCTGCTCTCCCACTCCCCCCCTCTGCTCTCGCACTCCCCCCTCTGCTCTCCCACTCTCCCCCTCTGCTCTCGCACTCCCCCCTCTGCTCTCCCACTCCTCCTCTCTGCTCTCGCACTCCTCTCTGCTCTCGCACTCCTCCCTCTGCTCTCGCACTCCTCCTCTCTGCTCTCGCACTCCTCCTCTCTGCTCTCGCACTCCTCCCCTCTGCTCTCGCACTCCTCCCCTCTGCTCTCGCACTCCTCCCCTCTGCTCTCGCACTCCTCCCCTCTGCTCTCGCACTCCTCCCCTCTGCTCTCGCACTCCCCTCTCTGCTCTCCCACTCCTCCCCTCTGCTCTCGCACTCCTCCCCTCTGCTCTCGCACTCCTCCCCTCTGCTCTCCCACTCCCCCCCTCTGCTCTCGCACTCCCCCCTCTGCTCTCCCACTCCTCCTCTCTGCTCTCCCACTCCTCCCCTCTGCTCTCGCACTCCTCCTCTCCGCTCTCGCACTCCCCCCTCTGCTCTCCCACTCCTCCCCTCTGCTCTCGCACTCCTCCTCTCTGCTCTCGCACTCCTCCTCTCTGCTCTCGCACTCCTCCTCTCTGCTCTCCCACTCCTCCCCTCTGCTCTCGCGCTCCTCCCCTCTGCTCTCGCACTCGTCCCCTCTGCTCTCGCACTCCTCCCCTCTGCTCTCGCACTCCCCCCTCTGCTCTCCCACTCCTCCCCTCTGCTCTCGCACTCCTCCTCTCTGCTCTCGCACTCCTCCTCTCTGCTCTCGCACTCCTCCTCTCTGCTCTCCCACTCCTCCCCTCTGCTCTCGCACTCCTCCTCTCTGCTCTCGCACTCCCCCCTGTGCTCTCCCACTCCCCCCTTCTGCTGTCGCACTCCCCCCTCTGCTCTCCCACTCCTCCCCTCTGCTCTCCCACTCCTCCCCTCTGCTCTCGCACTCCTCCTCTCTGCTCTCGCACTCCCCCCTCTGCTCTCCCACTCCTCCTCTCTGCTCTCGCACTCCTCTCTGCTCTCGCACTCCTCCTCTCTGCTCTCGCACTCCTCCTCTCTGCTTTCGCACTCCTCCCCTCTGCTCTCGCACTCCTCCTCTCTGCTCTCGCACTCCTCTCTGCTCTCGCACTCCTCCTCTCTGCTCTCCCACTCCTCCCCTCTGCTCTCGCGCTCCTCCCCTCTGCTCTCGCACTCCTCCCCTCTGCTCTCGCACTCCTCCCCTCTGCTCTCGCACTCCTCCCCTCTGCTCTCGCACTCCTCCCCTCTGCTCTCGCACTCCCCCCTCTGCTCTCCCACTCCTCCCCTCTGCTCTCGCACTCCTCCTCTCTGCTCTTGCACTCCTCCTCTCTGCTCTGGCACTCCTCCCCTCTGCTCTCGCACTCCTCCCCTCTGCTCTCGCACTCCTCCCCTCTGCTCTCGCACTCCTCCCCTCCGCTCTCGCACTCCCCCCTCTGCTCTCCCACTCCTCCCCTCTGCTCTCGCACTCCTCCTCTCTGCTCTCGCACTCCTCCTCTCTGCTCTCGCACTCCTCCTCTCTGCTCTCCCACTCCTCCCCTCTGCTCTCGCGCTCCTCCCCTCTGCTCTCGCACTCGTCCCCTCTGCTCTCGCACTCCTCCCCTCTGCTCTCGCACTCCCCCCTCTGCTCTCCCACTCCTCCCCTCTGCTCTCGCACTCCTCCTCTCTGCTCTCGCACTCCTCCTCTCTGCTCTCGCACTCCTCCTCTCTGCTCTCCCACTCCTCCCCTCTGCTCTCGCACTCCTCCTCTCTGCTCTCGCACTCCCCCCTGTGCTCTCCCACTCCCCCCTTCTGCTCTCGCACTCCCCCCTCTGCTCTCCCACTCCTCCCCTCTGCTCTCCCACTCCTCCCCTCTGCTCTCGCACTCCTCCTCTCTGCTCTCGCACTCCCCCCTCTGCTCTCCCACTCCTCCTCTCTGCTCTCGCACTCCTCTCTGCTCTCGCACTCCTCCTCTCTGCTCTCGCACTCCTCCTCTCTGCTTTCGCACTCCTCCCCACTGCTCTCGCACTACTCTTCTCTGCTCTCGCACTCCTCTCTGCTCTCGCACTCCTCCTCTCTGCTCTCCCACTCCTCCCCTCTGCTCTCGCGCTCCTCCCCTCTGCTCTCGCACTCCTCCCCTCTGCTCTCGCACTCCTCCCCTCTGCTCTCGCACTCCTCCCCTCTGCTCTCGCACTCCTCCCCTCTGCTCTCGCACTCCCCCCTCTGCTCTCCCACTCCTTCCCTCTGCTCTCGCACTCCTCCTCTCTGCTCTTGCACTCCTCCTCTCTGCTCTGGCACTCCTCCTCTCTGCTCTCCCACTCCTCCCCTCTGCTCTCGCACTCCTCCTCTCTGCTCTCGCACTCCCCCCTCTGCTCTCCCACTCCCCCCCTCTGCTCTCGCACTCCCCCCTCTGCTCTCCCACTCCTCCCCTCTTCTCTCCCACTCCCCCCCTCTGCTCTCGCACTCCCCCCTCTGCTCTCCCACTCCTCCCCTTTGCTCTTCCACTCCTCCCCTCTGCTCTCCCACTCCTCCCCTCTGCTCTCGCACTCCCCCCCTCTGCTCTCGCACTCCCCCCTCTGCTCTCGCACTCCCCCCTCTGCTCTCGCACTCCTCCCCTCTGCTCTCGCACTCCTCCCCTCTGCTCTCGCACTCCTCCCCTCTGCTCTCGCACTCCCCCCTCTGCTCTCGCACTCCTCCCCTCTGCTCTCGCACTCCTCCCCTCCGCTCTCGCACTCCTCCCCTCCGCTCTCGCACTCCCCCCTCTGCTCTCCCACTCCTCCCCTCTGCTCTCGCACTCCTCCTCTCTGCTCTCGCACTCCTCCTCTCTGCTCTCGCACTCCTCCTCTCTGCTCTCCCACTCCTCCCCTCTGCTCTCGCGCTCCTCCCCTCTGCTCTCGCACTCGTCCCCTCTGCTCTCGCACTCCTCCCCTCTGGTCTCGCACTCCCCCCTCTGCTCTCCCACTCCTCCCCTCTGCTCTCGCACTCCTCCTCTCTGCTCTCGCACTCCTCCTCTCTGCTCTGGCACTCCTCCCCTCTGCTCTCGCACTCCTCCCCTCTGCTCTCGCACTCCTCCCCTCCGCTCTCGCACTCCTCCCCTCCGCTCTCGCACTCCCCCCTCTGCTCTCCCACTCCTCCCCTCTGCTCTCGCACTCCTCCTCTCTGCTCTCGCACTCCTCCTCTCTGCTCTCGCACTCCTCCTCTCTGCTCTCCCACTCCTCCCCTCTGCTCTCGCACTCCTCCTCTCTGCTCTCGCACTTCCCCCTGTGCTCTCCCACTCCCCCCTTCTGCTCTCGCACTCCCCCCTCTGCTCTCCCACTCCTCCCCTCTGCTCTCCCACTCCTCCCCACTCCTCCTCTCTGCTCTCGCACTCCCCCCTCTGCTCTCCCACTCCCCCCCTCTGCTCTCGCACTCCCCCCTCTGCTCTCCCACTCCCCCCCTCTGCTCTCGCACTCCCCCCTCTGCTCTCCCACTCCTCCCCTCTGCTCTCCCACTCCTCCCCTCTGCTCTCCCACTCCTCCCCTCTGCTCTCGCACTCCTCCCTTCTGCTCTCGCACTCCCCCCTCTGCTCTCGCACTCCCCCCTCTGCTCTCGCACTCCTCCCCTCTGCTCTCGCACTCCTCCCCTCTGCTCTCGCACTCCTCCCCTCTGCTCTCGCACTCCTCCTCTCTGCTCTCGCACTCCTCCTCTCTGCTTTCGCACTCCTCCCCTCTGCTCTCGCACTCCTCCTCTCTGCTCTCGCACTCCTCTCTGCTCTCGCACTCCTCCTCTCTGCTCTCCCACTCCTCCCCTCTGCTCTCGCGCTCCTCCCCTCTGCTCTCGCACTCCTCCCCTCTGCTCTCGCACTCCTCCCCTCTGCTCTCGCACTCCTCCCCTCTGCTCTCGCACTCCTCCCCTCTGCTCTCGCACTCCCCCCTCTGCTCTCCCACTCCTCCCCTCTGCTCTCGCACTCCTCCTCTCTGCTCTTGCACTCCTCCTCTCTGCTCTGGCACTCCTCCCCTCTGCTCTCGCACTCCTCCCCTCTGCTCTCGCACTCCTCCCCTCTGCTCTCGCACTCCTCCCCTCCGCTCTCGCACTCCCCCCTCTGCTCTCCCACTCCTCCCCTCTGCTCTCGCACTCCTCCTCTCTGCTCTCGCACTCCTCCTCTCTGCTCTCGCACTCCTCCTCTCTGCTCTCCCACTCCTCCCCTCTGCTCTCGCGCTCCTCCCCTCTGCTCTCGCACTCGTCCCCTCTGCTCTCGCACTCCTCCCCTCTGCTCTCGCACTCCCCCCTCTGCTCTCCCACTCCTCCCCTCTGCTCTCGCACTCCTCCTCTCTGCTCTCGCACTCCTCCTCTCTGCTCTCGCACTCCTCCTCTCTGCTCTCCCACTCCTCCCCTCTGCTCTCGCACTCCTCCTCTCTGCTCTCGCACTCCCCCCTGTGCTCTCCCACTCCCCCCTTCTGCTCTCGCACTCCCCCCTCTGCTCTCCCACTCCTCCCCTCTGCTCTCCCACTCCTCCCCTCTGCTCTCGCACTCCTCCTCTCTGCTCTCGCACTCCCCCCTCTGCTCTCCCACTCCTCCTCTCTGCTCTCGCACTCCTCTCTGCTCTCGCACTCCTCCTCTCTGCTCTCGCACTCCTCCTCTCTGCTTTCGCACTCCTCCCCACTGCTCTCGCACTACTCTTCTCTGCTCTCGCACTCCTCTCTGCTCTCGCACTCCTCCTCTCTGCTCTCCCACTCCTCCCCTCTGCTCTCGCGCTCCTCCCCTCTGCTCTCGCACTCCTCCCCTCTGCTCTCGCACTCCTCCCCTCTGCTCTCGCACTCCTCCCCTCTGCTCTCGCACTCCTCCCCTCTGCTCTCGCACTCCCCCCTCTGCTCTCCCACTCCTTCCCTCTGCTCTCGCACTCCTCCTCTCTGCTCTTGCACTCCTCCTCTCTGCTCTGGCACTCCTCCTCTCTGCTCTCCCACTCCTCCCCTCTGCTCTCGCACTCCTCCTCTCTGCTCTCGCACTCCCCCCTCTGCTCTCCCACTCCCCCCCTCTGCTCTCGCACTCCCCCCTCTGCTCTCCCACTCCTCCCCTCTTCTCTCCCACTCCCCCCCTCTGCTCTCGCACTCCCCCCTCTGCTCTCCCACTCCTCCCCTCTGCTCTTCCACTCCTCCCCTCTGCTCTCCCACTCCTCCCCTCTGCTCTCGCACTCCCCCCCTCTGCTCTCGCACTCCCCCCTCTGCTCTCGCACTCCCCCCTCTGCTCTCGCACTCCTCCCCTCTGCTCTCGCACTCCTCCCCTCTGCTCTCGCACTCCTCCCCTCTGCTCTCGCACTCCCCCCTCTGCTCTCGCACTCCTCCCCTCTGCTCTCGCACTCCTCCCCTCCGCTCTCGCACTCCTCCCCTCCGCTCTCGCACTCCCCCCTCTGCTCTCCCACTCCTCCCCTCTGCTCTCGCACTCCTCCTCTCTGCTCTCGCACTCCTCCTCTCTGCTCTCGCACTCCTCCTCTCTGCTCTCCCACTCCTCCCCTCTGCTCTCGCGCTCCTCCCCTCTGCTCTCGCACTCGTCCCCTCTGCTCTCGCACTCCTCCCCTCTGCTCTCGCACTCCCCCCTCTGCTCTCCCACTCCTCCCCTCTGCTCTCGCACTCCTCCTCTCTGCTCTCGCACTCCTCCTCTCTGCTCTCGCACTCCTCCTCTCTGCTCTCCCACTCCTCCCCTCTGCTCTCGCACTCCTCCTCTCTGCTCTCGCACTCCCCCCTGTGCTCTCCCACTCCCCCCTTCTGCTCTCGCACTCCCCCCTCTGCTCTCCCACTCCTCCCCTCTGCTCTCCCACTCCTCCCCACTCCTCCTCTCTGCTCTCGCACTCCCCCCTCTGCTCTCCCACTCCCCCCCTCTGCTCTCGCACTCCCCCCTCTGCTCTCCCACTCCCCCCCTCTGCTCTCGCACTCCCCCCTCTGCTCTCCCACTCCTCCCCTCTGCTCTCCCACTCCTCCCCTCTGCTCTCCCACTCCTCCCCTCTGCTCTCGCACTCCTCCCTTCTGCTCTCGCACTCCCCCCTCTGCTCTCGCACTCCCCCCTCTGCTCTCGCACTCCTCCCCTCTGCTCTCGCACTCCTCCCCTCTGCTCTCGCACTCCTCCCCTCTGCTCTCGCACTCCCCTCTCTGCTCTCCCACTCCTCCCCTCTGCTCTCCCACTCCCCCCCTCTGCTCTCGCACTCCCCCCTCTGCTCTCCCACTCCCCCCCTCTGCTCTCGCACTCCCCCCTCTGCTCTCCCACTCCTCCCCTCTGCCCTCCCACTCCTCCTCTCTGCTCTCGCACTCCTCTCTGCTCTCGCACTCCTCCCTCTGCTCTCGCACTCCTCCTCTCTGCTCTCGCACTCCTCCTCTGTGCTCTCGCACTCCTCCCCTCTGCTCTCGCACTCCTCCTCTCTGCTCTCGCACTCCTCCTCTCTGCTCTCGCACCCCTCCTCTCTGCTCTCGCACTCCTCCTCTCTGCTCTCGCACTCCTCCTCTCTGCTCTCGCACTCCTCCCCTCTGCTCTCGCACTCCTCTCTGCTCTCGCACTCCTCCTCTCTGCTCTCGCACTCCTCCTCTCTGCTTTCGCACTCCTCCTCTCTGCTCTCGCACTCCTCCCCTCTGCTCTTGCACTCCTCCTCTCTGCTCTCGCACTCCTCCTCTCTGCTCTCGCACTCCTCTCTGCTCTCGCACTCCTCTCTGCTCTCGCACTCCTCTCTGCTCTCGCACTCCTCCTCTCTGCTCTCGCACTCCTCCTCTCTGCTCTCGCACTCCTCCTCTCTGCTCTCGCACTCCTCCTCTCTGCTCTCGCACTCCTCCTCTCTGCTCTCGCACTCCTCCTCTCTGCTCTCGCACTCCTCCTCTCTGCTCTCGCACTCCTCTCTGCTCTCGCACTCCTCCTCTCTGCTCTCGCACTCCTCCTCTCTGCTCTCGCACTCCTCCTCTCTGCTCTCGCACTCCTCCTCTCTGCTCTCGCACTCCTCCTCTCTGCTCTCGCACTCCTCTCTGCTCTCGCACTCCTCTCTGCTCTCGCACTCCTCCTCTCTGATCTCGCTCTCCTCTCTGCTCTCGCACTCCTCCTCTCTGCTCTCGCACTCCTCCTCTCTGCTCTCGCACTCCTCCTCTCTGCTCTCGCACTCCTCCTCTCTGCTCTCGCACTCCTCCTCTCTGCTCTCGCACTCCTCCTCTCTGCTCTCGCACTCCTCCTCTCTGCTCTCGCACTCCTCCTCTCTGCTCTCGCACTCCTTCTCTCTGCTCTCGCACTCCTCCTCTCTGCTCTCGCACTCCTCCTCTCTGCTCTCGCACTCCTCCTCTCTGCTCTCGCACTCCTCCTCTCTGCTCTCGCACTCCTCCTCTCTACTCTCGCACTCCTCCTCTCTGCTCTCGTACTCCTCCTCTCTGCTCTCGCACTCCTCCTCTCTGCTCTCGCACTCCTCCTCTCTGCTCTCGCACTCCTCCTCTCTGCTCTCGCACTCCTCCTCTCTGCTCTCGCACTCCTCCTCTCTGCTCTCGCGCTCCTCCTCTCTGCTCTCGCACTCCTCCTCTCTGGTCTCGCACTACTCCTCTCTGCTCTCGCACTCCTCCTCTCTGCTCTCGCACTCCTCCCCTCTGCTCTCGCACTCCTCCTCTCTGCTCTCGCACTCCTCCTCTCTGCTCTCGCACTCCTCGTCTCTGCTCTCGCACTCCTCGTCTCTGCTCTCGCACTCCTCCTCTCTGCTCTCGCACTCCTCTCTGCTCTCGCACTCCTCTCTGCTCTCGCACTCCTCCTCTCTGCTCTCGCACTCCTCCTCTCTGCTCCCGCACTCCTCCTCTCTGCTCTCGCACTCCTCCTCTCTGCTCTTGCACTCCTCCTCTCTGCTCTCGCACTCCTCCTCTCTGCTCTCGCACTCCTCCTCTCTGCTCTCGCACTCCTCCTCTCTGCTCTCGCACTCCTCCTCTCTGCTCTCGCACTCCTCCTCTCTGCTCTCGCACTCCTCCTCTCTGCTCTCGCTCTCCTCTCTGCTCTCGCACTCCTCCTCTCTGCTCTCGCACTCCTCCTCTCTGCTCTCGCACTCCTCCTCTCTGCTCTCGCACTCCTCCTCTCTGCTCTCGCACTCCTCCTCTCTGCTCTCGCACTCCTCCTCTCTGCTCTCGCACTCCTCCTCTCTGCTCTCGCACTCCTCCTCTCTGCTCTCGCACTCCTCCCTCTGCTCTCCCACTCCTCCTCTCTTCTCTCGCACTCCTCTCTGCTCTCGCACTCCTCCTCTCTGCTCTCGCACTCCTCCTCTCTGCTCTCGCACTCCTCCTCTCTGCTCTCGCACTCCTCCTCTCTGCTCTCGCACTCCTCCTCTCTGCTCTCGCACTCCTCCTCTCTGCTCTCGCACTCCTCTCTGCTCTCCCACTCCTCCCCTCTGCTCTCGCACTCCTCCCCTCTTCTCTCGCACTCCTCCTCTCTGCTCTCGCTCTCCTCCTCTCTGCTCTCGCACTCCTCCTCTCTGCTCTCGCACTCCTCCTCTCTGCTCTCGCACTCCTCCTCTCTGCTCTCGCACTCCTCCTCTCTGCTCTCGCACTCCTCCTCTCTGCTCTCGCACTCCTCCCCTCTGCTCTCGCACTCCTCCTCTCTGCTCTCGCACTCCTCCTCTCTGCTCTCGCACTCCTCGTCTCTGCTCTCGCACTCCTCTTCTCTGCTCTCGCACTCGTCCTCTCTGCTCTCGCACTCCTCCTCTCTGCTCTCGCACTCCTCCTCTCTGCTCTCGCACTCCTCCTCTCTGCTCTCGCACTCCTCCTCTCTGCTCTCGCACTCCTCCTCTCTGCTCTCGCACTCCTCCTCTCTGCTCTCGCACTCCTCTCTGCTCTCGCACTCCTCCTCTCTGCTCTCGCACTCCTCCTCTCTGCTCTCGCACTCCTCCCCTCTGCTCTCGCACTCCTCCTCTCTGCTCTCGCACTCCTCCTCTCTGCTCTCGCACTCCTCCTCTCTGCTCTCGCACTCCTCCTCTCTGCTCTCGCACTCCTCCTCTCTGCTCTCGCACTCCTCTCTGCTCTCGCACTCCTCTCTGCTCTCGCACTCCTCCTCTCTGCTCTTGCACTCCTCCTCTCTGCCCTCGCACTCCTCCTCTCTGCTCTCGCACTCCTCCTCTCTGCTCTCGCACTCCTCCTCTCTGCTCTCGCACTCCTCCTCTCTGCTCTCGCACTCCTCCTCTCTGCTCTCGCACTCCTCCTCTCTGCTCTCGCACTCCTCCTCTCTGCTCTCGCACTCCTCTCTGCCCTCGCACTCCTCCTCTCTGCTCTCGCACTCCTCCTCTCTGCTCTCGCACTCCTCCCCTCTGCTCTCGCACTCCTCCTCTCTGCTCTCGCACTCCTCCTCTCTGCTCTCGCACTCCTCCTCTCTGCTCTCGCACTCCTCCTCTCTGCTCTCGCACTCCTCCTCTCTGCTCTCGCACTCCTCTCTGCTCTCGCACTCCTCCTCTCTGCTCTTGCACTCCTCCTCTCTGCCCTCGCACTCCTCCTCTCTGCTCTCGCACTCCTCCTCTCTGCTCTCGCACTCCTCCTCTCTGCTCTCGCACTCCTCCTCTCTGCTCTCGCACTCCTCCTCTCTGCTCTCGCACTCCTCCTCTCTGCTCTCGCACTCCTCTCTGCTCTCGCACTCCTCTCTGCTCTCGCACTCCTCCTCTCTGCTCTCGCACTCCTCCTCTCTGCTCTCGCACTCCTCCTCTCTGCTCTCGCACTCCTCCTCTCTGCTCTCGCACTCCTCCTCTCTGCTCTCCCATCCCCCCCCTCTCCCCCATCAGTGACTTCTCTGGCCCTTGAGATGTTTGAGTGTCTCAAGGGCCAGTGGATTCACTTCTTTGGCAACCAGACCTCTCGAACGCTTTCCGCCTTTTTTGCCAAAAGATGTCACCCCTCTCCACCACTCTCCACCCCTCTCCCGCCCCTTGTGCCAATCAGTGAGCTCTCTGGTCGGAACCTACACACGAGTGTCTCAAGGGCCAGCAGGTTCACTTCTTTGGAGACCAGACCTCTCAAACAAAGGGGCTGCAATCCACTTTACCCTCTCGCACCCCTCTCCATCCCTCTCCACCCCTCTCCACCCTTCTCCCGCCCCTCTTCCCAATCAGTGACTTCTCTGGTCGGGACTCACACGAGTGCCTCAAGGGGCAGTGGATTCACTTTTTCGGCGACCAGACCTCTCGAACCCTCTCGAGTCCCTGTCTCTCTTCTCTCCCCTAACCCTGCCTGCTCTCCCACTCGCCCCGCTCTCATACTCGCCCCTCTATTCCCAATCAGTGACCTCTCTGGTCGGGACTTACACGAGTACCTCAAGGGGCAGTGGATTCACCTATTCGGCGACCAGACCTCTCGAACTCTCTCCACCTTCTTTGATCCAACCTGTGTTCCCTCCTCTCTCCCCTCCCTCACACCTTACCACACCACTCCCCACCACACCTCACCGCACAGTGACTTTTCAGGCCGTGAGATGTTCGAGTGCCTCAAGGGGCAGTGGATCCATTTTTTCGGCGACCAGACCTCTCGAACCCTCTCCACCTTCTTTGCCAAGAAGATGCGAATAAAAAAGGTCGGCATCAAACCTCCAGAGGAATTAAAGCCCCCTTCCCCATCTTCCTCCTCTGCTTCACCCTCCTCCTCCTCTGCCTCCTCCTCCTCCTCCTCCTCCTCCTCCTCCTCCTCCTCCTCCTCCTCCTCCTCCTCCTCCTCCTCCTCCTCCTCCTCCTCCTCCTCCTCCTCCTCCTCCTCCTCCTCCTCCTCTTCCTCCTCCTCTCCCACTCCCACCGTGGATGAAGGTAGAGCTCTTATCCAGAAGGATGATCGAAGCTCTTATAACAGAAGAAGGCTTGCTTATAACGAGGACAATACTGCCAGCGAAGGCACTAGCAGCAGCAGCAACTCTATCGAAGGCTCTTCTAGTGAGAACATTGATAGTGACAGTAATGAGACAGCTAGTAACGAGGGTGACAGTACCGAGAGAGCTAGCACCGCAACTGATGGCAGTAACGAGGGGGCTAGTAATGAGGATGACAAGGCAGCAGGAGGAAGAGCAAGGGGATGGCAGCCCGTGGCAAGGATTGCAGATCGCCCCACTGTCTCGTACCTCTTTCGAGCAAAGATGGCCCACCAACGCGCCCCAGCTGTGAGTGATGGTTGTGGTATTGATGGCATTGAAGGTGTTAAAGGTATTGATGCTGATCGTGCTGGTGCTGCCGCTGCTGCTGCCACTGCCGCTGCCGCTGCCGCTGCCGCAGCTGCTGCTGCCGCCGCTGCAGCTGCCGCCACTGCTGCTGCTGCTACTACTGCTGGTTTGATTTTGCCGATGCTGCCAGGACCATTAAGCGTACCGAGTTCGCCCCTCTCTTGCTCGTCCACGCATTTGCTCCTCTTTCCAACCGCCCCCCATTTTCCCTTCCCCATTTCCCTCCTGGCCCCCATCCTCCCACACCAACCAGCCAGGGGACCAACCAGAAGACAGACGTGAACAATTTCTTTTTCCGATGAGCTACAGGACCCTTTAGCGGATCGACCTTACCCCCCACTATCTCGACCCCTCTTCCTTCCTCACTTTCCCTCCCCACCTCCCTTCCCGCCTCCTCCTCCTCCCTTTCCATCCCCACTCTGATTCACCCACCAGCCAGGGGACCAACCAGAAGACAGACGTGAACGATTTCTTTTTCCGATGAGCTACAGGACCCTTAAGCGTATCACCCTCACCCCTTTTATTCTTCCCTCCTTGCCTCCCTCCTCCCCACCCTTTTCTTTTCCTGTCCTCCCCACACACAATCACCCACCAGCCAGGGGACCAACCAGAAGACGACGTTAACGACTTCTTTTTTGACGCGCTACAGGACCCTTTAGCGGATCGGCCGGATGTGCTTATAATGAGTATGGGCGCGCACGAGGTGTTTGGGTGGTCCGGGCGGCCGCGCGTGAAGCTAAACCTGACTGTTTATAAAGAGGATACGGAGGAGCTGCTGGGGAAGGTGCTGGGAAGCTTCCCGGAGCAGCGGGTGATATGGTGGAAGGCGCATTATATCCAACAAGGTGAGCAATCGAGATGAAGGATTTTAAGCTCTTTAGAGGGCGCCTCAAAGGGCACCTCAATGAGTGCGTTGGTGGAAGCGGCTGTGCCGCTGTGGTACCTCACTGTTCAACATTCCGGCGACTTTTGAGTCGCCTCAAAAGTCACCTCATTACAACTGCACACGACACTTTGACTTTTGAGGCGCCTCAAATGCCGCTGTGGTACCTGACTGTTCAACATTCCGGCGGTACCACAGCTGCTACCAACAACACGCTGCCACCTGCTTTGCTGCTAACTAATGGCCCACTTCCCCCCTCCATACCTTGTACTTCATTCCTGTTCCTCGCATGCCCCACTGGTATTGAGGGTATTTTCGAGACGTCTCAAAAATACCCTCAATACACGTGGCTTTGCTGCTAATGGCCCACTTCCCCCCTCCATACCTTGTACTTCATTCCTGTTCCTCGCATGCCCCACTGGCCCTTCATGTTTGAAAGTGCAGGCAAGATCAAGGGAGAGCAGTTATTCAACATTCGGCAATACGGTACCACAGCCGCTACCACCAACGCCACGCACGCTGCCCCCCATGTTGCAGCCCACTTATACTTCCCTTTCTCTTCCATACCCTGACCCGTTGTGATTGAATGCAGGTCTGATCAAGGGAGAGCAATTGTTCAACATCAGGCGATACCACAGCCGCTACCACCACCACCACATTGCAGATCACTTTGCTGCCTTGAGCTCATCGATCCCCCTCTTCCTCCCAACCCCTCACAGGCAAGATCAAGGGAGAGCAATAGTTCAGCATTCGTCAGTACCACAGCCGCTACCACCAACGCCACGCTGCCCCCCATGTTGCAGCCCACTTATACTTCCCTTTCCCTTCCATACCCTGACCCGTTGTGATTGAATGCAGGTCTGATCAAGGGAGAGCAATTGTTCAACATCAGGCGATACCACAGCCGCTACCACCACCACCACATTGCAGATCACTTTGCTGCCTTGTGCTCATCGATCCCCCTCTTCCTCCCCACCCCTCACAGGCAAGATCAAGGGAGAGCAATAGTTCAGCATTCGTCAGTACCACAGCTGCTACCACCAACGCCACGCTGCCGCCCGCTTTGCTGCCTTGTTCTCAACACTCCCCTCTCTTCCCCCCCACCTTCCCGTTATCCCCCTTCACCCCTCTCTATCGGCAGGCAAGATTAAGGGAGAGCAATGTTCAACATTCGTCAATACCACAGCCGTTACCACCGCCATGCCGCCGCCCGCTTTGCCGCTCGCCTCATACTTGCATTCTCGCTTTCCGCTTTTCCCCTCCCTTTACAGGCAAGATCAAGGGAGAGCAATTGTTCAACATTCGGAGATACCACAGCCGCTACCAACGCCATGCTGCCTCCCGCTTTTCTGCCAACGGGCATTCGATTGCAGATTTCTATGCGACCACCAGGAGGAGGAGCGAGGCTTGTAGAGGGGATGGAGTGAACTATGACTCGGAAGTGGTTTGGCAACATGTGAAGGTCCTTGCGCATATGCTGTGTTACAAACATGCTAACAAAAGATAAGCATGCAATGGATTATATTTGTGTTTGTGTTAACAGGGTCCCCTACAACGACACAGCATTGCTAAGGGAGTGAAATGGGGAAAAGGCCGTAACTCCACTAGTGCATTCCTGCATGAACAGGCGCAGGGACACTTGAGGTTTACATGTCCCTGAGAGTGAGAGCACAGCACAGCACAGCATACTCCCAACTTCATCGTGTGCTTCTCGAGTTTTGAGTCGACTCAAAACTCGACTTATCACGCGGGGACACTTGAGGTTGACATGTCCCTGAGAACACAGCACAGCATACTCTTAACTTCATCGTGTGCTTCTCGAGTTTTGAGTCGACTCAAAACTCGACTTATCACGCAGGGACACTTGAGGTTTACATGTCCCTGAGAACACAGCACAGCATACTCTCAACTTTTTCCTCACGTGTGCTTCTACCGGTATGCTGTGCTGTAGGCTGCTCTTTCGTGTCCCACACTACCCAGTCCATGATGGGGGCGAGAGAGAGCTCGGCATTGGAGTGGGCAAGGGCTGTGAGCCAAGAGAGCTGTCATGTGCGCTACTGTGCCCTTGGGCATATGTGTCCGAACCTTCAAAGCATCTCAACACTAGAGTTCACTTCTTTGATGGGGGCAAAGGATCGTCAATGGATGGGCGAAGGGCCATCATGAGCCAAGAGTGCTTTATATGCGCGCTGCTGCGCCATAGCCCTTATTTTCTTCTAGGCCATCTCAAGTTCTCAAAACATACATTTATTTCTCGTCCAAACCAGCCGTCTTTGACGGGAGCGAAGGATCGGCGGTGGATGGGGCAAGGGCCGTGCGCCAAGAGCGTGCTTTCACGTATGCTGCTGTGCTGTTGACCACGTCTCTTACAATGAGTGCATCCCAAAACACCAGCGTTTATTTCTCGTGTAGAACCGTCCAGTCCTTGATGGGAGCAAAGGATTGGTGGTGGATGGGGCAAGGGCCGTGGGCCCATGGGCCAGGAGTGCTTTCATGTGTGCTGCTGTGCCATTGACCATCTCTCTTACACTGAATGCATCACCTGTGTTTATTTCTCGTCTAGAACCGTCCAATCCTTGATTGGGGCAAAGGATCGGCGGTGGATGGGGCAAGGGCCGTGGGCCAGGAGTGCTTTCACGTGCGCTGCTGTGCCGCAGCAGCCCATATCGCTTACAGTAAGTGCATCGCAACACCTGGGCTTATTTCTCGTCTAGAACATCCCAGTCCTTGATGGGGGCGAATGACTGACGATGGATGGGGCAAGGGCCGTGAGCCAGAAGAGTGGATTTCATGTGCACTGCTGTGCCGTAGCCATTATTCCTTGAAGGCATGTCATTGCAACACTCGTGCGTTCATTTCTCGTCTAGAACAGTCCAGTCCTTGATTGGGGCGAAGGATCGGCGGTGGATGGGGCAAGGACCGTGAGCTAGGAGTGCTTTCATGTGCGCAGCTGTGCCGTAGCCCTTGTGCTGCTTGAAATCGTATGCTGGGTAGAGCCTGAAGAAGCAAGTGGGAGGGAACAGGGGAAATGGAACGGTGTGGAGTGGGATGATCGGTGTCGGGATCAGCCCATGATTTTTGAGGCGCCTCAAAAAGAGCCTGAAGAAGCAAGTGGGAGGGAACAGGGGAAACGGAATGGTGTGGTGTGGGATGATCGGTGTCGGGATCAGCCCATGAGTCACCTCCGTGCCATGGGCCAATAGTGCGTTCAAGTGCATTTACGCATGTGCTGCTGAGTTGTCTATTTTGAGGTGCCTAAAAAATAGACCAAGTCACCTCCGTGCCATGGGCAAATAGTGCGTTAAGTGCGTTAAGTGCTTTCATGCATGTGCTGCTGAGCCGTAGCCCGTGTTTGGCATGGCATGGCATGGCATGGCATGGGATGGGATGGGATGGGATCACGGCAAGCAAGTAGCGCCACCAGCCATCTCTTGAGGCGCCTCAAAAGTGCTGCTGAGCTGTAGGCCTTGTGTGGCATGGCATGGCATGGCATGGCGTGAGATGGTATCAGGGTGAGCAAGTAGCACCACCAGCCATACCTGTCGAATTTGAGCATGAGTCGATCCCTTGTCACTTTGGCAAGGATGGAAGCAGCCGCGATGGCATAGCATGTGGCATCACCCTGCAAGCGCATCACATGGCAAGGAGGGAACAAAACGTTGTGAGACAGAACTTACCATGCCTGCAGCATTTCAGACAAATCAAACGCATGCGAGCTCATCGGGTATCATTCCATACCATACCAAGCCATGCCAAGCCATGCCATACCATACCATGCCATGCCATGCCATGCCATACCATGCCATGCGATGCCATGCCATGCCACGCCATGCCATGTACGGTACTGTACCATGCCGTACCACTCCGAATCATTACCTTAACAACCGCCTCAGCAGCACAGGGCAGGCCTGGAGGGACCCTGCTGCCATCCACAAGCACATAGTGAATGGAGGGCTGCTGGGGTCCCATGCCACTCCACACCGTATCAAACCATACAGTACCATACTTCACCCATCGCACACCATACCATACTGTACCACTCCATACCTTAACGGCCTCAGCAGCACACGGCAGTTCCTGAGGCACCCTGTTGCCATCCACAAGCACATAGTCGGGGGAGAGGCTGCTGGGATCCCATGCTACACAGTACCGTGCCGTGCAATGCCACACCACACTGTACCGTTCCATACCTTGACAACGGCATCAGCTGCACAGGGCAACCCTGGAGGCACCCTGCTGCCGTCCACGAGCACATAGTCGGGGAGGGGCTGCTGAGATCCTCAACCACTTTGGCTATGCTGTTGCCCATTGCTAGCATTGTTGCTACCGCACCGCACTGTACCATACCGCACCGCTCCATACCTTGACAACAGCCTCGGCAGCACAGGGCAGCCCCTTAGGAACCCTGTTACCGTCCACTAGCACATAGTCAGGGGATGGACTTTGGGGGTCCTCAACCACTTTAGCAATAGTGTTTGCCATCGCTAGCATCGTTGCCTCGAGGATGTTCACCCTATCGATCTCCGCTGGCCCCACTATGTCCACCTGGAGAACAGCACAGGAAAGTAAAGGAGAGAGGAAGATGCAGTGCAGAGAGCACATGGTCAGGGGAGGGACTGCTGGGGTCAGCACGATCGTGTCTGGTCGTCAACCACGTTAGCTATGCTGTTGCCCATCGCCAGCATCGTTGCCTCGAGGATGTAGACCCTATCGATCTATGCTGGCCCCACTATGTCCACCTGTATAAGACGTACGAGGGATACGGGAAAGAACAGAGGATATATTTGGGAATAATAACGTGTTGGAAAAGTGTTAACATAAAGCAAAATTCAGAGAGAGCAAAAAAAAAGAGGATTGGGAGAGAAATGAAAGAGTGCGAGGATCGAGAAAGAAAACAGGGAAATAGCAGGCGAATAATGAAGGTACAACTGAGAAAGAAATAGAGAGAGAAAAAGAAGAACAGACAATAATAAAACCGCACACAATCACAGAACGATTGGATGCTATTACAGATTTCGTACAGCCTACAGCACCCAAATAGCGCAGCAGTATCATACAGCGTAAAAAATGTCAGGGTTCCCGATAATGGCATCAAAAATCTCCTCCCTCTGCTTTTCTGTGAGCTTCTTGCTGTCCGCCAGACCTGCAACAGTGTGGGCAGGAAGGCAGGAATGGAAGGTCAGATTGTAACATTGAGGGAATTTCCAAAAACGGCATTCAAGTATCTCCTCTCTTTGCTTCTCTGTGAGCTTCTTGCTGTCCGCCAGACAGTGAGTGCAGTAGGGCAGTGAGGCAAGGAAGGCAGCACACACAGCACCCACCCACCTCTGTTCTCCAGCTCAGCTGGCACGGCGCAAGCAGCCGCCACCACAGGCCCTGCCAGCGACCCCACCACCAGCGGGATGCAGGTGACAGTCAGAACATACACACCACACTGCACCGCACAGCACCCACCCACCTGCAATCTCCAGCCCAGCATGCACGGTGCATGCAGCAGCCACCACAGGCCCTGCCAGCGACCCCACCACTAGCGGGATGCAGGTGACAGTCAGAACATACACACCACACCACACCACACCACACCACACCACACTGCACCGCACAGCACCCACCCACCTGGGATCTCCAACCCAGCAGGCACGGCACAAGCAGCAGCCACCACGGGCCCTGCGAGAGGCCCTCGCCCCGCCTCATCCACCCCGTACACGTGCTTGAACCCCTGGGACCACAGGGATTGCTGGGGGATGGAGGGGGGAAAGGGAGGTGGGGGGAAAGAGGGGATAAAAGAATGTACCCTGCTACCGGCCCTCCCTTGTCCCACCTCATCCACCCCGTACACGTGCTTGACCCCCCGGGACCACAGGGATTGCTGGGAGGAGAGCGGGATGGGGAGTGAAAGGGAGGGAGGGGAGAGGGGTTGCCGATGGTCCTGTCAGCGGCCCTCGCCCCGCCTCATCCACCCCATACACGTGCTTGAACTTGCGCGACCACAGGGATTGCTGGGGACGTGAAAGGAGGTAGCACACATATTGCAGCATAGCCAGGGTGCCAGCGGCCCTCGCCCCGCCTCATCCACCCCGTACACGTGCTTCAATCCGCGCGACCACTGGGATTTCTGGGGGGAAAAGGTCGGGCAGAGTGGGGAAAGGGGGCGGGAAGGAGGAAACGAGTTAGAATGGGTCCTGCCAGAGACCCTCCCCCTCCCCCTCCCCCTCCCTCTCCCCCTCCCCCTCCCCCTCCCCCTCCCCCTCCCCCTCCCCCTCCTCCCTTTCACCTCCCTCTCCCCCTCCCCCAGCCCTTCTCCCCCAACAGTCTCTCCTTTCCTCCAGGGCCCTGTCCGGTGTCTTGGTTGGTAGCACAGAGGCACGCCGCACGCTGTATGTCTGTCTTTCCCCTCTCCTTTCCCTTCCCCCCCTCCCGCCCTTCTTTCCTCCTTACCTCCAGGGCCCTGTCCGGTCCTTGCGCCTTTCCTGGCCCCCCTGCTCTCTTCCCCCCTTGCTCGCCTCCCCTCTCCTTTCCCTTCCCCCCCTCCCCCCCTTCTTTCCTCCTTACCTCCAGGGCCCTGTCCGTTACCTGCGCCTTTCCCGTTCCCCCTGCTCTCTTCCGCTTCAATTCGCCCGCACCAGCAGCAGCAGCAGCAGCAGCCACCCCCCCTCTCCCCACCTTTTCCCCCTCTCCCTTTCCTCGTTACCTCCAGGGCCCTGTCCGGTCCCTGCGCCCTCCCTGCCCCCCCTGCTCTCTTCCGCTTCAATTCACCTGCACCGGCACCGGCAGCACCTGTGCTGGCAAAAGTTTCCCCTTCCTATCCCTACCCCGCCCCCTCTCTTCCCCCTCTCCCTTTCCTCCTTACCTCCAGGGCCCTGTCCGGTACTTGCGTCTTCCCTGCCCCCACTGCTCGCTTCCGCTTCAACTCGCCGGCACCAGCAGCAGCTGCAGCAGCAGCAGCGCCCCTGGCTGTCACTGCTGCTGCCGAAGATCGTTTGGTTGCAGAGGATGGTTTCTTTCTCGACTGCTTACGCGCCTGAAAAGCAGCCGCACCGGCTTCTGCTGATGCTGCAGAGGGTTTGACGGAGGAGGAGAGCTCGTTGGTCGATTGCAAGGCAGCCAATCGCGAGGACCTTCGAGGCGCCATGGAGGAATATGATCGGTACGATGAACTTTGTCTGGTTAGGATGGACGAGTAAATTCCGACAGACGACCCGTAAGTCACGGGGAATGATACCCCTCGGCTCCAAAGAACGGATTGCCGAAGCGGGAGCAAGGCCTTGCACCACGAGGTCATTATAATCGGGTATGTTAGGTGTATTAACGACGCATGTAATGCTATTTCCTGCTACATTACTGTAAACTGTAAGTAACGTTCCGGAGCGTAAGAAGCGCAGGAGAAAGCAAGGTGCAACGGTAGCTCTTCATTCATGCAACGGTAGTCCAGTTTAACTTCTAGTAAAGATACAACCCATGCAAACCAAGGGATGATGCGCCAGAAGAAATGCTGCTGCCACACGACGCTAATCACCGCGCTCGCTGCGCATTCAAAACCTTGGTTGCGAGCGTGGCGACACGAACAGTAACGGCTGTCTCTGAAATCAATTATTCAAATTCTGGAACGTATCCAGCACATAACACTTCAGAAACTTCAAGGCTAAACCCGTGAGATAACCCAGCCTTGATTTGCACCAAACGGAGGAGAAAATTCGCATAGGTTCGCAATCGGTTACCGAATGTAGCCGAGATTCAGCGAAGAATATCTGTGGAAACGCGCCCGCAAAAGAGTTTGCTCATGGGGTGACTCGCTAAAAGGGGCTAGCAAGAAGAGTACCGTTCATTTCCATGTTAACTGCTCAAAAGCGTTCACACATGGAGTAGAACGCCAGCATTAAAATACACCATAAAAGGTTCCAATTATTTTGTCCCAGCTCCACAACACCTGCACAAACACATTATCACACAAAGGAGAAACAAAACTAGCAATGGTTTAAAACAATTATATAACAAGCGATTATATGGTCTTTCAAGCACATGCGGTGCACCTCAAAACAAGCACACATACAACTGTGAAAAGAGTATGGAGGGTGGTTGCTAGAGCCACGGGCTGACGCGAGCCTGGGCTGCTGCCGCTGAACATCTGAGGCGGTTTCGAATAGGTTGAGCAGTTTTCAAAGCACTTTTTAAAGGGTTTTAGAGGAGTGGTTGTTTGATCGTACCTCTTGTATCGTTACCCAGAGCCACCGGGGGACGGGCTATTACGAGCCGGGGCAGCTGCTGCTGCACTTTGAGGCGGTTCAGAGTAAGTTGAGCACTTTTTGGAGCACTTTTAGAGGGGTTCAAAGGGGTGGTTGTTTGAACGCACCTCTTATATTTCTTCCCAGACCCACATGGGCATGGGTTGTTGCGAGCTGGAGCTGCTGCTGCCGAGCCTGCACCGCCAGCCAAACCAGCACTAGCACCCGAACGTGCTCCCGTTTTGGGTGGGGACCAAGGCCCGCCCATCATTTGCTCGATCTGCAGAGGAGGTAAAAAGGGGGGACACAAGGTGGGAGGTACGCTGCATGTGCAGCGGCAGATACAGAAACAGCAGCAGCAGAACCAGAGGGTGTAGCTCTAGCTCCTGAACCTGCGCCTGATTTGGGTGGGGACCAAGGGGTGGTTTTTGAGGCGCCTCAAAAACCACCTCATTGGGTGGGGACCAAGGGTCGCCCATCATCTGTTCAACCTGTGGAGGAGGTAAACGGGAGGAGACAAGGTGGGTCTGAACCCGGGTGCGGATTATTCAAGTTTTTTGCTGAAGAGGTTGCACATATTGCAGCTCTTTTTCAGAACCAGTCACTCGTACGTGCTTAGCTAAAAGCACCCACTCTTTGTTGTCGCCTCTGCAACGGATCGAGAAAGCGGTTTCCCTTGGAATTGTAGCGCCTGCATTCTGTTAGCCACATCCTTGAACCACTCGTACTTAGCTAAGAGCATGTCAATCTCAGAATCATTACAACACTTAGCTAAAAGCTTACATTCCTTGTTCCCACCTCTGCAAAGGATCGCGGAAGGAATTTCCCCTGGTCTTGTAGCGCCTGCATTCTGTTTGTCGCCTGCACTCGGTACTCACAAGGTGACTTTTGAGTCGACTCAGAAGTCACCTTGTTAACTGTCTCTGCAAACCACTCGTACTTACACACGAGCATGTCGATCTCAGGTTATTGCAATACTTAGCTAGAAGCTCCCATTATCTGTATATGGCATTGTAGCGACCGCACCCTTTTAGCAGCCTCTGCGAACCATTCGTAATTAGCTAAGAGCATCCTTGCATTCTGACAGTATTTAATAGATCTTCCTTTCTTAGCTAAGCAACTAAATACTGACAGGGTCCTTGCATCCTGATAGATCTTCCTCTCGTATCAATCTCAGTTGTACTATCTTACTGCTTAACTGAATGCAAACGCTTAACTAAAGGAATCATTTTTCTCACCTCTGCAAAGGACCGAGGGAGCGGTTTGCCCTGGTCTTGCAGCGCCTGCATTCTGTTGGCCGCTTCGGCAAACCACTCGTACTTAGCTAAGAGCATGTCAATCTCCCCCATGGTGCTGCCGGTCTCGCTGGCAACGCGCTGCCGCACACTGAAGGGGATGGATAGCTGGGGCGGGACGGGGGGAAGATCGATGCGATACTAGACCGGGGGGATGGGAGAGGAATCATAGAAGCATGAGTTACCAGAAGGCATGGGTGGTGAGGAAAACGGGACACGAGACGACTTTTGAGGCGCCTCAAAAGGTTACCATACGGCACGGGTGATGAGAGGAAAACTGCCCCGTTCCTTCCTTACCAGCTCGTCTGTCGAATTCGTTTCAGCAGCGTAAGCAGTAAGAGCCACCACTCACCCACTCGTGTGTAGCCTTGGCGTCAGCAGCATAAGCACCTAACACCAGAGTGATAATCTCCTGCTTACTCTCTCCTGGTTACCGCTGTAAACGGTCGCACTCTCCTGTTATACTACCTAACGGTCGCACTCTCCTGTTATACTACCTAACGGTCGCACTCTCCTGTTATACTACCTAACGGTCGCACTCTCCTGTTATACTACCTAACAGTCGCACTCTCCTGTTATACTACCTAACGGTCACACTCTCCTGTTATACTACCTAACAGTCGCACTCTCCTGTTATACTACCTAACGGTCACACTCTCCTGTTATACTACCTAACGGTCGCACTCTCCTGTTATACTACCTCGGTTACCGCGTTCCTTTGTTACGAAACAAGGTCATTACTCACCCACTCGTTTGGAGAATTCTCTAAAGTCACGCTCACTGTTACACTATCCCACCTACCGCATTCCTTCCATACGAAACAACGCCACTACTCACCCGCTCATTGGACAGTTTGGCTTCAGCAGCATAGCCAGCAAGCGCCAGAGTGATGACTTCCTGCTTCCTCAGAGAATTTGTCACCACGCCCTGCCCGCCCTCAGGGAGAATCCTTACTGAGTGTCATAGCCTCATTACCACCATGTATGGTTACCACCATGTATGGTTACCACCATGTATGGTTACCACCATGTATGGTTACCACCATGTACGGTTACCCTCTGTCTTTCAATCCTCACCCGCTCGTCGGCTAGCTTGGCTTCAGCAGCATAGGCGGCAAGAGCGAGATTGATGGCCTCTTGTTTCCTCAGTGAGTTTGTCACCACCTTGAATGGTTACACTCTCCTGTTACCACATTCCTGTTACACCCACCCGCTCGTCGGCCAGTTGGGCTTCAGCAGCATAGGCAGCAAGCGCCAGAGTGATGACCTTCCGCTTTCTCAGAGAGCTGGTTACCACCTTGAAAGGTTACACTCTCCCGTTCTCCAACTTAGATTGCCATTCTTAATTACCCAATTCCCTCTCACCCGCTCGTCGGCTAGCTTGGCTTCAGCAGCATAGGCGGCAAGAGCGAGAGTGATGACTTCTTGCTTCCTCAGAGAGTTGGTTACCACGCTAAGTGGTTACACTCCCCTATTACACTATCCCAGGCCAGGTAATTCATTTCTTACTCACCCGCTCGCCGGCCAGTTTGGCTTCAGCAGCATAGGCGGCAAGCGCCAGAGTGATGACTTCCTGCTTCCTCAGAGAATTTGTCACCACGCTCTGCCCGCCCTTGGGCAGACTTTTCCCGAAAGTTGTCAGCTGCCCGAACTGCCGCGCCCGCTTCAGCTGGTTGGCGAATTCTGGGAGGGAGGGATGGGGAGAATTTGAGTTACGTCATTTCCAATGACGTAAATTAAGCCTCTGCTTTGGCCATTCCGTTTTTTTTCCCTCTTGCCCCATTCTCCCTTTGCCTATCCCCCCATTCCCATTTCCCCATTCTCCAAGTTCAGTGCTGCACCCCCCTGCTCTCCCTTCCCCATTTCCCCCATTTCCCCCATTTCCCCCATTTCCCCCATTTCCCCCATTTCCCCCATTTCCCCAAACCCCAATCCCCAAACCACCATAAAAACACCATGATGGTTGTTTGGCAAGCACAATTCACCACCTCCCATTCCCCCCGTTTCCCCAACCGCGTGTGTAATTTGCAGGCTTACCCGCCTTTTCCATTCTCCCATCCCCCAATTCCCCCATCCCCACCCCCCAACCACCACTCTCACTCCCCCTCCCTCCCACTCCCCCTCCCTCCCACTCCCCCTCCCTCCCACTCCCCCTCCCTCCCACTCCCCCTCCCTCCCCTCCCCCGCGCACCAGTAAGACCCTCCGCGTGTGTCAAGCGCTTCGGTTCCCCTGCCTTCCCCGCGCCGCCCTTCCCCAGCCGCAGAAAGGTCTGGAACCGCGATAACCATCCGCCGCCGCTCTCCCCCTTGCTCTCCGCCTCCGCCGCTGCGCCCCCTCCCCTTCCCCCCGCGCCCTGCCCCCCTCTCTCTTCCCCTCCCCCGCCGAACAGCAGATTCCAGCCCCTGCGCTCGCTCCCAGCCTGATCCGACCCTGGACCCGAGGCTCGGCCGGCGCTCGCTGCCGAGGCTAGTGGCGAGCCTGCGGGTGCACTCGCTGCCGAGCCAGGCTGCCCTGCCGGAGCTGCGGTTCGGCCCGTGCCTGACACGTAGCTCCGCGCCGCGAAAGGAACGGCCGGAATTACGCTCCTCCTTTCACTCGTTGCAAGAGGAACGACCGCATCAGCCGCCGCGAAACGCGCCGTGATCGGCGCGAAAGGCGCGGCCTCTCGAAACGAATCAAGACGCGCGTCTCCAATCGCGCGACTCGAGAGGATTTGCGGGATTGGCGCGGGTGCTACTACTGAGGTCAAGGCATTCTGCGACTTGCGCGTAAGATCGGACTTGCGACGCAATACCTTAGCGGCCGACGCGGAAACGACGCGCAAGGTAGCATGGCGCATGGCGAAATTCCCAGTAAAACGAATAGATTCAAGGGAAACTGCTACTGGTGGGGATCGTCCCGAAAATATCAAGGATTTCAGGAAACTTCAGAGAGCAGTTTACTCTCGCTATAGCAAGCTCCAGTAATTCGACTCCTGTAATTGTTTTCACTTTGTACTGATCCACACGCTAATTGGACTAAACTAATTTTAGCGGAGAATAACTTCATGCAAAAAAAAGGAAACATAATGGCAACCATAAGCTATTTCTTCAGCATTTCTTCATTGAGCAGCAAGGCGCGGAGAAACAGCTCTCCTCTCACCATCTCCCTGACAGCCGTTGGATCGTCAGCGATGAACCATGTGGAATCAACGGCTGAGATCTGCACACAATGACAAATGGCCATAAGTGACCTCCGTGCCAACGTTTTTGAGAATGACGGATAGATAAAACACTGCGCAGAAAAGGGCCTTCCTTGTGCCCTTGCTTACCTTTCCATGTGTGTTCATTTCAAATCTGGTCTTGCCAACCAGAAAAATCGCATCGTCCTGCTCCTTATCCCCTCCCTCCTTGTCTCCCTCTCCTTCCTTCTTCACTTCACTACCTTGCCTACCAATCCCTTTTCCCCCACCACTGCTACTGCTACCTCCATTTATCCGACTTTGCTCCTCCTCCTCTTCCTCCTCATCCCCTTGCCTCCATTCATCCTTTCCCTTCTCAGCACCAAGTTTCCCATTTCTTCCCACACCACCCCTTTCATCCTGCCCCTCCTCTTCAGGAAGGTTCCTCCTGATCTCCGCCTCGTGCTCAGGAAGATTCCTCTTCCACCAGTCGGACAGCCCCATGCCTGCCACTGCTTGCCGCCCGCTCTTAGCTAAAAGGATTGTCCAGAGGGCAGTGATCCAGCGACGGTCTGAAGGACAGTGTAGAAAGGGGGGATCAGGTTACAAAACATACCTGCCTTCCACTCACCACTTCCCACCCACTCTTAAATAAAATTATGGTCCAGAGGGTGGTGATCCAGCAGCAGTTCAGAGGCAAGAAAGGGAGTAGAGATAAGGTGAGGCCTCTGAACACCATGGATGAAAGGGAGTAGAGATAAGGTGAGGCCTCTGAACACCATGGATGAAAGGGAGTAGAGATAAGGTGAGGCCAAGGATGCGGATTGAACGAGGGAGGAAACACAATGGATGAAGGAATGGGCACCTGGATAAGGAATGGGCACCATGGATAAGGAATGGGCACCTGGATAAGGAATGGGCACCATGGATAAGGAATGGGCACCTGGATAAGGAATGGGCACCATGGATAAGGAATGGGCACCATGGATAAGGAATGGGCACCATGGATAAGGAATGGGCACCATGGATAAGGAATGGGCACCATGGATAAGGAATGGGCACCATGGATAAGGAATGGGCACCATGGATAAGGAATGGGCACCATGGATAAGGAATGGGCACCATGGATAAGGAATGGGCACCATGGATAAGGAATGGGCACCATGGATAAGGAATGGGCACCATGGATAAGGAATGGGCACCATGGATAAGGAATGGGCACCATGGATAAGGAATGGGCACCATGGATAAGGAATGGGCACCATGGATAAGGAATGGGCACCATGGATAAGGAATGGGCACCATGGATAAGGAATGGGCACCATGGATAAGGAATGGGCACCATGGATAAGGAATACCGTTTGCAGGGGCCTAGACAGGGTGCGAAGGCAGCTTTCGAGTCGACTCACAAGGCATGATGTGGGTTACAACCAATTTTGCATGCAAAAAACATTCTCTCCACGTATAATCCGCGTGCGATGAGTCGACTCTAGAGTTGGCGCAGACACAGGTGCCGCCCACTGACCCCAGCTGACTTCTGAGTCGACTCAATAGTCAACTCTAGAGTTGGCGGAGACACAGGTGCCGCCCACTGACCCCACCAGCTGCGGGTTTTGAGACGCCTCAGAACGTGGCATCCCAGCATTGTACTGACAACAGCAATGGCTCACCCGGCGCCTTCACGAGAGTTTCGGAGTAGAGATGGTGCAGATGCAGATGCCCCCCTGCTGACCCCATCAGGTGCAGCCACTGTTGCCATCTGAAAAGGACAAAAACAAGGAGGACACGTTAAAATATCGTCTGACCCAACCAGGTGTAGGCATTGGTACCACCTGCGAAAAAACTATGAACACATGAATAGACAGTTGAAGGCGCCTGAAAAAACGAGACAATCATGATCAGACACATCATCCCATCGCAACAGCCCCACCAATCCCATCTCATCGGCCCGCCTTGCCCCGTCTTCTCTCACCTATCTTGCCCCCAAACGCACACCACAGGGTTCTGCACTCGAACCCCCTCCTCCACCAATCCCAACGCAAAGATATCCACAGGCTCTTCCCGTCGTGCCCGTGACTGTTGCTCCTGCTGCTCCTGCCTCTCCTGACGCTGTTGCTGCTGCTGCTCCTGTGGCTGTTGCTGCTGCTGCTGCTGCCGCTGCCGCAGTGGTTTGTCCTCGTGAATCCGCTCATTCTCCCATTCCTCTTCCTTCTGTCCCTCCTCTTGCTGTTCCCAATCCCCCTGGCCCTTCCCTTCGCCCCCCTCCTTCTTGGAAGTCACCGGAGGTGCAGGGAGTGGGGTGGAGAGTGCGTGGGGGAGGAAGAGCCGGAGGGCAGTCAGCAGGTCCTGAAGCCTGTCGATCATTGCAAGGGCTGGCAGTCGGGGATACAATGGTAGACGGGAAGACAATAAGAGGGGAGAGTGGGTGCGTGGGTGGGTGGGTGTCTTCCCGTCTACCATTCTTTCCCCACCACCCACCCACCCACCCACCCACCCACCCACCCACCCACATTCAGTGTCGATGACCCGGGGAGGGGCGTAGCCATACGGCGTGTCTAGCTCCTCCCTCTCGATCACATCCCCCATGTAGGCAGGCAGACAGGGAGGAAACACACACAAGTATGGATAGGCAACTGCACAGACCAAGGAACACACTCAAAGAACCCACCCACCTTCACTGTCAATCTCTGGAGGAGGGGCGTAGTCATACGGCGTGTCTAGCTCCTCCCTCTCGATCACATCCCCCATGTAGGCAGGCAGACAGGGAGGAAACACACACAAGTATGGATAGGCAACCGCACAGACCAAGGAACACATTCAAAGAACCCACCCACCTTCACTGTCTATCTCTGGAGGAGGGGCGTAGTCATACGGCGTGTCTAGCTCCTCCCTCTCGATCACATCCCCCATGTAGGGAAACACCCCGGCAGTGCGGGCTAGATCTGCAGTGACAAGAGAAGATGTAAGATGAGAGCGGATGGGGAGATAAGAGATTGTGACCCAAGCGGCAGGAGTAGGGCGTGTCTAGCTCCTCCCTCTCGATCACATCCCCCATGTAAGGGAACACGCCGGCAGTGCGGGCTAGATCTGCAGTGACAAGAGAAGATGGGAAGATGGGAAAACAGGAGATGCGACTTGATATTCCTCAAGTGCGACACCCCCTTACAGCCTCATGAATCCTCCCTTACATCATACCAGCGTATGTTTTATGAGAATTCTAAAAAAAACAGCCGCATTACACCTCCCTTACATCATACCAGGACTCCTTAATTGTGGTCCGTGCCTCCATCGCAACCCGGAGAATGACCTTTGACTCTGCAAATAGCATAGCCCAACCCACTTAAGTCCTCTGCTCCAAGTCTCTTTGAATTGCATCTACTCGCCTTACCTGCAAACCGTCCTTAAGACCTCTGCTCCCATCGCAAACCTAAAAAGTAGCTCGAATTGACTCTTCTAGTCCCTTCGAGCTACTTCTAGAATCTGAACACAGTTTCAACCTCCGCTCGTTACAAAACCCTTGCTTTCGTTTCTGGAGACCTCCTCTAATCGCCCTTGTGCCTTAGGACGTCCCAAAACCCTTGTGCCTTAGGACGTCCCAAAACCCTTGTGCCTTAGGACGTCCCAAAACCCTTGTGCCTTAGGACGTCCCAAAACTACTCATCTTACCAGGAAACCGTACCTGAGCCTTTAGACATCTCAAGCTACCCCACCGCTTTACACCCATGCATCTTCTCACCTGGAAACCGCTCCTAAACGTCCTGCTTCCATCACAACCCCACAGCCCCCCCTTTCTACAAGTACTCTCTCTTACCCCGAAGCCATCTTACCCGGAAACCGTTTCTGAGCCTCCTGCTGCCATTGCAAGCCCCCCACAGGGCCACTCAGCGAATGCTTTTTGAGTCAAATCCCGACTCAATTGTTTCAGCACCTCTCTACACCCATTCATCTTACCCTGGAACCGTTCCTGAGCCTCCTGCTTCCATCGCAACCGTCCTGACAGGGCCACTCAGCAGGTGCACCATCCCAGCGAATGTTTTTTTAGTCAAATCACGGCTCACCTGTTTCAGCACCTCTCTACACCCATTCATCTTACCCGGGAACCGTTCCTGAGCCTCCTGCTTCCATCGCAATCCCCCCACAGGGGCACTCAGCGGGTGCACCTTCCCAGAAGCTTCCATCTCCTCCCACAGGCGGGCCACTGCCTCAAACTCGGCCTCTGCTGCCTCCTCCTCCTGCTCGCCCTCCTCCCACTCCCACCCCGGGATGTTCTTGTACTCGTTATGATTGTACTCGTTATAGTCGTGTAGAGCGGACTCGGCTGATTCATTCCTGCGGCTTTTGTCATGCTCACTGTTGTTACCATTGGTCCGGCTGCTGCTCCTTTGATAGCCACTGTCACTCCTTCTGGCAAACTCAAATTTACTATCAGTATATTTGCTATCCCTTTTTACGTTGCCGCCTAATTCTGACGTGTCCTTCCCACCCTCACTCCAGCGAACCTGTTCCGAGGCTCCGCCACCCATTTGTTCCAAAAACGAAGCAAGATCCGGCCAAGCCTGATCCGAACCTCTTTCAGCTGGCTCTTGACTGGATCCGAGCCTGTCTTGGTTCGGTAGGTTCGGAGACTCATTAGACTCAGTGATTCTCCCGGGCCTCCTGTCGAGGTTCGGGAAGACGGAGGCTCGGATCTCCTCTTGGCTCGGCATGGATGAATAGTTGATAAAACGAATCTTCGTGGGATCTGTCCCCTCCCATCGAGAGGGCCTGATAGTTTCTGACGTGGCAGAAGATGATGAGGTGGAGGATGATGACGTGGCAGGTGGAGACGTGGCAGATGGTGACATGGCAGATGCTGATGTGGCAGAACTTCCTTGAAAACGAGAATGAGAAGTAAGCTCTCTGACGTCTTTCCCATCCTCAGGAACATGGCTTGTCGTTTCCATTGCCGTCAACTGTATAATTCCCTCACGTTTCCCCTTCCCTTTCGCCTTCCCTTTCGCCTTCCCTTTCTCATTACCCCCCTTCTTACTCTCCTCCGTACTTTTCTCTTTCCTCTCCTCTTTCCTCACCTCCTTCTTCGCCTGCTTCCTCTCTGCGTTCCTATCATTCACCTCTCCCCTTTTCTTCGACGGTTTAAGTCCCTCCCTTTCCCGCACAGCACCCAACCCTCGGCCCCTCTTCTCCTCCCCATCACCACCTCTCCCTCCCTCTCCTCCCTTCCTTTCGTTCGCATTCTTCTTGCTCTTATCTCCCTTCTTTCCCTTGGCCCTCTTCCTCTCCACATTCGCGGAAACTTCCAAGCTGGTCGGTTTCCCCGCTCCTTCCCCAGCCGCTACAGCTGTCAACTTAGTTAATCTCTTCCAGGAACCCGTAGTTAATCTATTTCGTAGGAGTGTAGGAGGCTCCACGACAGCCGCAGTGGATGTGGATCTATCCCATGAACACGTGTATACGTGGCAAGAGGTACAGTGTCGTGCTGTTTGGAAGATCGGAATACGCGCGGCGGAAAAATACGTGAGCGTGGAAGTTTCCATTACTCGCAACAGCGAAGAATCTTAGAAAATGACAGTAGGAAAAGGGCAAAAGATCAAAGTAAAAAAGGCAAAGCGCACGAGGCAAGAATAAGCAGTATCGAGGTGCTGTGCTGCTGCAAGTTAGGCCGGCGATGACCGGCAAGCAGTAAGCGCGAGCAGCGGGGAGGCCACTAAAAGAGCATTCTAGCTTGCTATGTGATTGAAGAAGTGTTTTGAGACGTCTCAAAACAAGCAGTAAGCGCGAGCAGCGGGGAGGCCACTAAACTGCTTGCTCGAGCAGCAGTAAAAGAGCATTCTAGCTTGCTCGAGTGAGGTGACTCGAGTGTTCCAAGGAGGTTTCAGGTTTAGGAGATTCTGACATTCTGAACTACAGGCGATTCTTGAGAATTCCGCGATGTGGCTTGGCTTGTGTAAGGAAAATCCCTTTTTCCTTACTTCGCATCCCCGCTCAACGCGTACATCACTGTAGCACCTCAGTCAGCACCGTTACCACTCGCGATCATCGCATCGACAATCATCCCGCCATTTTCGCACATCGCATCCCGACCTCACGGCTCGGCGGGTAACCCCCGCTCCGGGCCTACGCTTCGGCATTTTCCCAACCTCAGTCCCAGGCTCGTCGCGCGACAACCACAGTCCATTACCGTTACCACTGTAGTTTCGCTATATATTCTTCGCTCATGCCTTCGCTCATTGTATTCTTACTTCGATAGTGCAATTCTCGTTCGCTCACTCAATTGCACTCGTAACACTTGGTATTCAGAGCCTACGATCTCATCTCGGACCGCATCCACACCTTCGCTTCCCTACTATCTCAATTTTTTGGGGGGGGTAGACGTCTCTCAGCGACACAGCACCGCCGCTCGTAGTGCTCTCTCGTAAGCACGCACGGCCACGACCGAGGCTCTCGCTGAGCTTGCCCGACACCCCCGCCATGGCCGATTTCACGCCCGCCACATTGACGCAGGAGCAACTTGATCGTCTCGTGCGTCAGCTGGAAGAATCGGCGCTCGAAATCGCGACGCTCACGGCGGAACGTGACTCCGCCCGTCAACAGTCGACGGTGAACATTCCGGCGACATCACACGCACCAACAAATGCATCTGCACAATCGGACGAGCCGATCATCATCTCGTCCGGCACACCAACACAACACGACAGCATGGGACAACGCTCAGGCGCAGCCAGTGACGGCGTCGCCCAGCCGATGCCCGGCATGGGAGGAGGCAGGATCGCACCAAGCCCGCGGGAGCCCCGAGAAGCCCGCCGGCACGTGGAATTTGCGGCGACAAGTGGCGAACAGGCCATCATGGCACCAATGCCGCTCAAGCCACAACGCCCGCCCTGCTTCGACCCAAGCCAACGCAGGGGTCCGACGGTTCAATCGTGGGTCTTCACGATGAATGTTTTCTTCGACGCAAACTACGTCGAGTCGGACGCCGCGAAGATTCGGTATGCAGTTTCGCTGCTAAGGGGCCCCGCCATGGACTGGTGGCGAGTCATCGTGACGTCGCCACGCGCCTACGAGCCACCGTCGCACGAGGAAGGGCCCACGGGTCCAGCTGTCACCTGGAGTTCGTTCTGCGAGACCGCCCAATACAGCACGTGGGATGCGTGGTGCGCAGGGCTTCGGGCGCGCTTCGAGCCGATCGCGGCTTCGATTTCGGCGCGTCAGAAACTGCGCACTTGGCGCCAGCTCGGGTCGGTTCAAGACTATACAAGCGGCTTTCTCGCACTTTGCGAGCAGGTCGGCTACATGCACGAAGCGGAGCGGGTGGACCGTGTCAAACATTATATATATATGTTGTAGTTGTTTAGGCTACAGTGGGTTAGCCTATAGGGGGTACACAATTCTAGGGTTTCCTACTTGTACTCATTTCACTGTTAGTTCATTCATTCTTGTTCAACATGGTATAGAGCAGGTCCTTCCTAGGACCGTTTTTTCTAAGGGCCCACCACTACCTACCTGCCTACCTGCCTACCTACCCTAGGGCGCCTCGGCGTTCACGCCCCTAGAGGCCCTGTAGGCCCCGCGCTTTTGCACCTAGAGGCCCCGAATCGGCCCCGCGCCTAACCCTACAGGCCCGCGCCGGCCCCGAGCTCGTCCCTTCTAGGCCCGCGTCGGCCCCGCGCTTACCCCTAGAGGCCCGCGTCGGCCCCGCGCCTACCCTAGAGGCCCGCGTCGGCCCCGAGCCTACCCCTAGAGGCCCACGACGGCCCGGCGCTTACCCCTTGAGGCCCGCGACGGCCCGGTGCTTACCCCTAGAGGCCCGCGACGGCCCCGTCCCTACCCCTAGAGGCCCGCGACGGCCCCGCGCCTCCCCCTAGAGGCCCGCGTCGGCCCCGTCCCTACCCCTAGAGACCCGCGTTGGCCCCTGTCCCTACCCCTATCAGCCCGCGTCGGCCCCGCACTTACCCCCACCCGCTCCCCGCGCTCGCCCTTAGCGGCCTCGAACGGCCCCACCCAGAACGAGCCGCCCGCACCAAACAGCCCGGCCCTAACGGAACCGAGCCGCCCGACCCGAGCCGCCAGCCCTAACCGACCCGAGCCGCCCGAACCGAGCCGCCCGAACCGAGCCGCGCCGCCCGACCCGAGCCGCCCGAACCGAGCCGCGCCACCCTCCCTATACCGAGCCGCGCCGCCCTACCTGTACCGAGCCGCGCCGCCCTACCTACCCTACTACTCCTACTGCTTTTCCTACTGCTGCTACCATGGCCAGCCCTCCTGTGCTAGCCTTCGATGCTGAGGGCCGCCCAGTGAAGTTCGACACCTGGCTTGATGACCTACACCTCTTCCTACAGCTCACTGCAAAGGAAGACATCTCGCTGTACGATCACGCCTTAGGCCACGCTACTGCTCCTGCTGCTACTGCTGACAGCACTGCTCGCTCACAGTGGCAGACTCGTGACGCCCATGCTCGCTTCGCTATTCGCAACTCTCTGCCGATAGATGAGCGCGAGCACTTTGGGCAGCACAAGACTGCACAGGCACTGTACACTGCTGTCTTTGCCTGCTACTCCTCACCGGCCTCTGCCGCTCTAGGCCGTCTCTCTCTTCCCTACCTATTCCCCGACTTAGCTTCCTTTCACACTGTCGCTGACCTCATTACCCACCTCCGCACTAGTGAGGCTCGCTTCCGCGCCGCTATGCCTGATGAGTTCCTTGCCACGAACCCACCCCCGCTCTGGCTCACTCTCTACCACCTAGTCACGCGCCTCCGTGACTCGCTGCGCTCAGTCAGGGACCACTTCCTCGCTCGCTGCCCCACCGAGCTCACCATTGCCCTCCTCGAGAAGGAACTCCTTGCAGCGGAGACTAGCATAGTCGCTGTAGGTGCCTCTCGCAGTGACCCCCGTACCCCGTTCTTTGAGGGGTGTTCTCCCTCCCCCCTTCTTCCCTCGGTCGGCTCTGCTGCTGCTGTCGACCTCCTTGGTGCTGAGAAGGTCGGGACTGCGTCTGCTTCGAGCGGGCGTCGCAGCGGCAAGGGCAAGGGGGGCAAGGGCGGTAGTGGTGACAGCGGGGGTGGCGGTGGTGGGGGAGGTGGTGGCGAGGGGGGTGGCGCGGGTGGGGGAGGTGGCAGCAGTGGTGGGGGTGGCGGCAGCGGCGGGGGAGGTGGCCGGGGCGGAGGAGGTAGTGGGGGTGGCGGTGGACGAGGCGGCGGCCGGGGTTGGGGTGGTCGAGGAGGTGGTAGCGGCGGTGGTGGTCGTGGAGGCACTGGCGGTGGCCAGGGCTAGCAGCACACTCCCTCGCCCCAGGAGGTCCGTGAGTGGTACTCTCAGCACGGGGGGGGGGGGGTGGCCTTAGCTGCACGTACGTCATTCGCACTGGTGACCGCACTGGCCAGCCGTGTGGGGGACCGCACGCCACACAGCGTTGTTTCGCTCGTCTGAGCGACGCTTGGCGTGTTCAGTTCCCTTAGGCCACTGAGCTGCCCCGCTGGCTTGATCTCCTGAAGAAGGGGATTGATATCTATGCTCTAGACTTTGAT